TCAAATTACTTTTCAATCCATCTGGTAAAACCTTAAATACTGTCATCCGCAATGTCCCCATGTTAAGAACAATTTGATGGATGCACAGTCTGAGGGTAGCCTTTCCACAAGTGTGTGTGCGTGTGTGTGCATGCATTTGTTTCACTGCACATTTCAAGCCAATGTAATGTGTGTTGTTTCAGCTGACAGAGAAAATAACAAGCATCCATGCTCTTACATATGGGAACAGTGTAATGAACATGATGTTCATTTCATGCACATGCCTTCTTGTTTGAGAATCAGTGCTTTTAATCCATCAAGAAGAAAATTGTTATCAAAAATTCAAGGTCATTTAGTGGTTCCATAGGTTGGTATTTTGAGGTATGTTTTGGGATCATGTTCATGAGGGGTGTGGACACTTAACCATGCATTTTTAAGAGCGCTGGAAGTTTGTGCAACATGTGTATCTTTAGATATGGAAAAACACATTGTATCCATAAACAGGAAAAAAGGCTCAGAATTAATTTCTCTAAACAGCCTTCTCCCCTGTCTGCACATGTCTCTTGAGGATTCGGTTTTGATTTGGCTTTTAAAGCAAGCCAGAACTCAGCTCAAGTCTCATTGTGTGTGTTTGTGTGTGTCTGTGTGTGTGTGTGTGTGTGTGTGTCTGTGTGTGCTTGTATGTTCCAGACTGACTTTGATAGGACTAAACATCCAATTTGACATTTGCTGTGGCAGTAAGCTGCGTCTGGCAGTAAGTCACTATATTTCTGTATAGAATGAAACCAGAGACAGAATTTTTTTTTTGCTGTGCTCCGTATTTTCTCTCTCATGGCTAAAATTATGGGGACATGTTAGTAGACTGATGCAGTTTGTTGCCAGGTCCCTAGCCTTGTCTGTTAAACTCCCTGCATTTTTGTTGCTATTTTTATTACTGGATGATTCATAACACAGCAATAGACATGAAAGGCACCGTTCTGTAGTTTTTTGTCTGTAATAATTTTAAAATGTTTCTTCCTCTTCTGTTTGTCCAACCTGCTTTTCGTAACTTCATTAAGTGAAGCCGTTTGTCAATCTGAAGACTTTTCAACGGTCCCCAGAGCAGGTCTCTGTCATAACAAGTAACAGCATTATGCATTTCCTTATTTAGTGAAGATAAATGATATAATGAAAGTGATTATTGTAGCTTCAAAGTAAAACATATCATGATTTAATGTAAAAATACAACTGTCTTGTCAGCTGACAGTAACTCACCAAAGGTGCAGAAAAGTGTTATTTCATTGGAAACTTCAGATGGGTGTCTGGTTCATGTGGGTGGTATATAAACCAGCAAACACTGTTTGTGTGAGTGCATCCAGGCCCAGTGTACATAGACCTGTGTGTAATATGCAGAGCTGCAGAAATGAGGCATAGCACTGACTGATGCTGCTGGGCCGCTCTGCTTCACAGAACTGGCTTTTCTATCAGATAGACAGCTTGACAATATCCAGACCCCACTCTTTCCGCTACACACAAAGGCACGCCAACACACAGGCACATAACACACACATGCGTGCACACGCAGCTTTCTGGGTCTGTTCCGCTCGTTTCTGGCTGGACTGTTTGTAAGATGAAAGAGAAGTTTGTAACTGAGTGAGTACAGTAAAGTCTGACCTCTTAGATAGGCCTTTGTTGTGTTATGTGTTACTGAGAATTATGAGTCTCATTTTGAACCATATTACAACATAAGAAACTGTCATTCTTAAAAACAGCAAACTGAATAATGATGGTGAATCAAAGACATTATTCACTGTCATTAGTATACGCACAGTTTGCTACTTGTTTGACACTTCTAACAGAAGTAACTGCAATTTCATGTTAGCTTGATTGATTGTCTGTCTGTTTGTTAAACAGTAGATCATCTGGATTGTTCCCATTTGGGAGAGGTATTCTCCAAAAACAATGCGTGCTGCTATTCTAACCTAAATTCACCATTTATCTCCATTTTATATTGAATCGTGCTACATTTCTCCTCTTCAGCATTACACAGATGTGATACTGAGCTGTAAGAAGGCACACACACAGACACACATACGGTATGTGTCTTGGTAATGTCATTACTTTCGTCTGACTGAGATCACAGATTTGTAGCTTCAGGGCTTTTTAGTGTCTGTATTAGAGCTCTTTCATGTTTGGCCTTAGTGATCTGTAGATTTCCTGACACCAGGAGGATGGATCTACCCAGCATCCTTTTCTCTTTGGAAGAAAGCATATGATGCCCTGCTCTTGTAGGGCTATAAACGAGAGCTCGGTTATGTTGGCCGGTAATGTTATACTTCCTCCTGCGGCTAGTAGCTGTTGTTGGTTTGTGCAACCGAAGCAGAAACTGTAGTAACTGCTCACCAGCAGGCTAACTGAGGATTAACCACCATTCAAATGAGAGAGAGTTCTCAGGGAATTGTGCTATTGTTTTTCTTGTTTAACCAGATTATAAGAAAGTCATGGCTAACTGTAGCTTAGCTAAAATATGTACCAGCTCCTCTTAATAATAGGTAAATACCCAATTATAATGGTGGACTACTACGGGCTACAACTGATCATTACTTTCATTTCATCAAGTTATCTGCAGATAATTTGTTTTCGATCAGTTGTTTAATTATTTTAACTAAAAAATCCTATCACAACTTCGCAGCGGCCAAAGTGACATGTTTAAATGTCTTGTCTGACCAGAAGTCCATAAAAGAAATTCTATTTATTGTTGTAAATTGAATACTTCTATGTGAGAAGCTGAAACCAGAGAACGTGTATGATTTATTTTGATTTAATAATAACTGAAAATGATGATCGTTTCTGCTTCTTCTACTACATATAACAACATGTATTGTATTGTAACATGTATTTTAAAGCTGTTAATTTAATTGATATTAACATATCAATTAAATTATTTACCTTCCGATCCACTTCCTCCCTACATGCACTCATAGGAGTGCTGGAAGAATATAAATATTTAAGGAAACAAAACGTGTTATTGTGAGGATTTTGTCCGAAGTTTGAAAGTATTTAAGCAACAACTAAAACAGGAGTGTAAAATATTAAACTCTCTGCATTACAAAACATTTAGTTTTCTCACTTTACCATTGGACATACCTTTAAATTACAAAGCCATGAGTTTATTTGCGGCTGGTTAAATAGAATCAACAGAATCAAAATCCCAGGAGCAAAACTGACACATAAACACATAGACATTTATTTGATCGTACATGCGGCTCTTAGGCCTGCCAGCAGAGAAACTATATTTTTAGCAGCATGATGCATCTCATGATGCCTTTATGATGTGTGTGCAGGGCTGCTAGCTGTGTCTTGAAGCAGGGCTGGTCGCCTGCTGCTCAGATCTCAGGTGAGGAAAGGCCTGGAATCACTCATCCTGGCAGCCACATCTGGCGCTACTTTCTCTGTCCTGTTGCTCTCAACTCTGCTCCTGAAAACAGACACCACTCTGGTTTAACCACAGAGGGAAGAAGTTATGATAATAGCAGTTATGATAATAACGTTATTGGTGGTTATTAATGAGATGGAGAACAGACAGTTTACTCAGGAGAAATACACTCCATAAGAGCACTGTATGTAATAAAACCATTGTTACTGCTAGCATTTCTTTTGTTTTTAGGCTTTGTCCTGCCGTTGCTGGAGAGCGAATTAATGCCAGGTGCAACAAGCAATCTTTCTGTTCTCTCTGTTTGCTCTGTGGATTATACATAACCACTGCTCTACTGGAAATAAAGGCTTACACTAAATGCTGAAGAAAACACATTTTAGCTCAAGCGTGACTTCATTAGCATTGTTCGGTGTTCAAATGTATTCTGACTCTGACTTAAGGCCAGACATTTGTATCTCTCACATCCATTTATTAAATATTAGAATATTAGACAATCTCACACCTTTTGCATGCTCATAACTGCTCAACAAGTTTGAAGAATAACCTCACATGCACCCTGTACTGCTCTGCTTTTGTCTCCATTCCACATTGGACGGAGCAATCGGTTGTCAAGCTCAGCTGGTGCCAAACCCACAGTTGAGGGCAAATTCTAGCCAGATCCAGAGAGGCACACAGTCTTCATCTGTTTCCTGTTGAACCTAGGAAATAAGGGTCAGAGTTCAGGGCAATATTTACGTTAATGGAATGACTCCAAACAGATAAAATTTCAAAACAAAAGCCTGAGGTATCCAGGAGCCGCCTGCAGTCGCACATTAGAATATAAACAAACACTTTTGGCACACTCACCATATGCCAACATCTGTTGTAGGCACTCATCCTTTACTGCCCAGTAAGAATAATGTGTTTTGATGGAGACAGCAGACATAAACGTGAGTGAGCAGTCAGCTGCAGAAGAACAGAACGATTCTGTGCTCACTGCTTTGAGGAGCGCATCACCACAGGAGTCCATGATGGGAAAATCAGTCTGTCTAGTTTCTCACTGTATGTTTTTGAAGACAAGACTCTGCCATCATGTGTACAAATAGACGCGTATGCGCAAACACAAAGTTCCGTACCTGGCACACAACAACTGATTACATATTAAACCCCGTGGCAGCTTACAGTGTATCCAAATACAGTACACGCTAACATTTTCATAAACATAACTATGCAGAAATGTAATCTCGTGTTTCTATCTGTATATGTTACAATTTACTGAGGTTTAAGAATTTAGAAGAAGCCACCGTTTTTTTAAGAGTCACATGGGAAAGAGCTTGATTGTTTAAATGGACAAACCCAATGTTTTCCCAATAACATTTTCTTTTTCATTTTGTGACTTTTGTACTCTTTCTCAGCATTGAGCACTTGTATAGTGCATTATAAAACAATATACCCCATTTTGTATGTTAGTTAGTAGAACAATAGATGGGGATCCCTACCGTACATGGACATGAGAATCAATAAATCAACAAGTTCCACATGGTCTCCATCATTTTCACATCATGTCATGGGATTCCAGGTGTGTAAAAAGAATCAAAGTTACAACTGCTTTGTGGGTTTCTCCCAGCCAGGTCTTTAGACAAACTGTACAACTTTGCCGACTGTGCTGGTCTGCATCTGATCCTGGGGCTGAACGCGCTGCATAGAAACCCAGACAACTCCTGGAACACCTCCTCCACGCTGAGCCTCCTGAAGTACGGCGCTGGCAAGAAGTACAACATTTCCTGGGAGCTGGGCAATGGTCCGTATAGCTACACACCACATACTGCCTACTAATTAACGCCATAAGCTACAGTCTGTAGTATGTTTGTGCTTTTACTCAGCTACTGTACTTAAGTATGCTGATATTGGTGGACAGTTTTGAAGTACCTCAACTTTACTTGATGGAACTGTCTCACCACACTAAAAGTAGAATAATTTCAATAATATTTGCTAAGACTTAGTCCTAGAACAAATCAAGAAATACTTCGACACAGTTTTAAAGATTCTTGCATAGAAAAATTAAGAATTATCAAGCTACAAGCAGAGACCACAGTCTTAGATCGGCTGTTTTAGTCTTAACTTAACCAAACTGAATGTCAACACTAAACTAACATCATCTCTAAACCCTTTTCCAACACTACACAACAACCTTTTCTAACTTAACCATTTCTAAAACTGGTGAAGTGGTTGGTCTCTGTTCCTGCAGACCAGCAAACCTTTACTATCAGAAACACTTGGTACTTTGTACTTGTACATGCCACCTCTAATACATAATGAACTGCATTTCAGTGAAGGACTTTCACTTTTTGATTAGTCCAAGAAAATATGTTTGTTTATTGTCCAAAATTCAAGTGTTGTTCTCCATTAAAACTATGCTATGAGAATGCAGTTAAACTTTTGTTTCATTCATTTAAAATTTACTGGTGTAACAGCTTTGATAGACATTATTGAAAGACTAAGCAGTTTAAGGGTTAAGGCAAGTGTTCCTTCAGGGATGAAAGGAACTGCTAGTCCTCATGTCATCCTAACCATCTGTGTTCCTGGGGAGCTGCAGTGCACACAGAGCTCTGTGTTTCCCTGCTGCACATCACTTCATATTTTCATTTCAATTTTTTTCTCTAATAAAGCTCACAATAGAAACTTTTATTCTAGCCTAAGCCTAAAAGTACCATGCAAAATCTGCTGATTGGTCCATGTGAAAAATTTTGTGAGGACTCGAACTGTAGCAGACGTTCGCTTTTCAAGTAAATCACCCAGACAGTGCAGACACAGAGCACATTTGTAGATGTGGAATGAAAAGGTGTTCCTTTTGAAAATGGATAATAATATACCCGTTATAGTTTTGAGGACTGTAGCACACACACAGCTACATGTGCACACAAACAGCTCAAACACAACCTGGTACAGATATAATCACAAGGCTCTTCAGTAGTGTAGTAAAACAGCAGTGGATCTGCAAAAGTTTAGTTTTCCTCCTTTTAGGGAAACTAACTCCTTCACGCTCTTTGTTTTACTGATTCTTCAAGGCCACCCTGAGTGCTTGGACCATTCCCCTGACACTGAGTCCATCCGTCTGTATTACTGCGAATTGCCCAATTATCCCTTTTTCTACTGGCTGTTAGATACTCTCTAGGAGAGCAAGATCGGACTACAACAACAACAAATATTCTCTGCCACCTCCCCACTGTTGCTTTTATAAACTCTATCTCTCTGGCTCAGTGTACTGCATCTCCTCTTTCCAGAGCCTAATGCCTACCGCAGCATGGTGGGTCGCGCGGTCAACAGCACCCAGTTAGCTCAGGACTACACCAAGCTGCGGACCCTGCTCCAGTCTGTACGCTATTACCACCGAGCTCAGCTCTACGGCCCCAATGCAGGACGACCCCGAAAGAACGCCATCCTGCTGCTGGATGGGTAAGTCAGCAAGTAAAACATTGATTGGACAGGCTATCCAGCTGGGAAAAGGGGAAAGGTAGTGGAAAGTATGCTGCAGGTTTGGGTCTTTTACTGAGCTTTACTGTGTTTAATGCACACACAGTGTTTATGGATTTCCACTCTGCAGGTTTCAGGGTCTCAGCTCCAGTTATACCGTGTCAGCCTAAATAAAGTGTCATCTGATTGATAACGTGACTGCACAACGTCCCACCTGCTGGTTTTACCCAGAAGGTCCACCAGCTTCAGTTTGACTCTGATGGCTTATCTAACAGCCCTCTCTCAACTACAGCCTGTGCCCTCCTGAAACTGTACATACGTTTTCAGATTAACCAGATTAATCTACTCAGATCAATATGAATACCAACTTGAAGAGAGGTTAAACTGACTTTCTGTACTGATTCTGTAACAACTTTGACAAAGTTGCATTACTGGCACATGGTAATGTAGTTGCGATTAGGGAATTTGTTGTTCTTGCTTTGAAAGGATTTGAGATCCAAGTCTCCTGCCAAGTCTCCTGCCAATATAAACTGCATTCACAAACTATGTTTTTTGGAAAATAAAACACAAAAGGAAACAATACACAAACATTGGCAACATAAAACGATTATATGAGTTATCTAGACAGTTTCTTATGCCAGATTTACTCACAAACCCATGGACACACCAACAAAATGACTTAATTGATAGTTTATAACATCATAATTATGTATCTTCGACAAAAAGCTGACTCATTTTGTAATTTCTTCACTTCAAGAAAGTTTAAAGTCTGTGTAAGTATATTCTCCAAACATGACCAGTGGCTGTCTGAATGGTATTGACTCAGATCCTTTGGAAAATGGTTAACAGCTCAAACTATTAAAGCCATTGTTACGATCCTAAAAAAAACAACTTAAGCTCTTCTGCCTTGAAGTTTAGGTTAACGTGTGAGTCACAAAATGAACTCTGAATGCAAATGCGTTCTCAAAAAATGTGTATCCCTGGTGCATTGAAAATAAAATGTCATATAACATGTGAAATACAAAACTCATAAATGTTTAAAACGCGAGACAGTCAAATACTGATAGACGATCAACAGTAGAGAGACAGTCTACCAAATGTCATTTGACTTTTGGCTGCATCTCTATGTAACTCAAACGCTAATTCTACCCTGATCATATTAACTCTAAACAAGAATGTAGGTATGCAGGCTACTTTTGGGTGTTACTGACTGTCTTAGTTTGTTGAAACTCCTTTTAGACAAAAAAAACCCCTTTCTCAGTTCTATTGACCAAATAGATGACACCATCCCTCAAACATATTCATCATTTCCAAAACAAAGTTAGGCCTTTCTGAGCTTTTCTGTCTGTTGAAATAGAAACAAACTTGACCAAAATGGATGCATCAGTGGCCCTGTACAACAAACACAGACTGAAAATCAAACATAGATGGATATACACAACTCTGTCAGTGTGTTGGACGATCCAAATAAAGCATGACCTTTATGGAGAGATGTTTTCTTTTTCCTAAATAAGAAAATACGTAGGATAAACCTTGAATTTAGATAAAATAATACATAATTAACTCTACCCAATACTCCACCCAATATAGCATTTATAAGCAGTATTTAAACATTTAATGGATGGATTATAACACACTAGTTGTAAGCAGATATACGCGTTTATTAACTCCCACTGTGGGCACCCATAAGTGGAGGCTGGTGTATAAAAAATAACACAGACTATATAGTAAAATGCAGTTGTAATATTATAAAATATGTGGAGGAGAAGTTTAATTGTTGATAAATATTCTACATTAATAAACACTTAATAATGCCCTTATATCTGCACACACAGTACATTATAGTATGTTGAATAAATGTATAAATGTTGTACCATTACAAAACAAGGATATTTAAAGATTAAAAACCTCATTCAGATGTTCAGTGTGTAATATATGGTAAATGCAATCGGAAAATATTCAACCCCCTTACCTCAAAATACATTATAGTGATGTAGATGAAAGATAATGACAATAAATGACAAAAAAAACTCAGCAAAAAATACTTATTGATGAATATTTGAGTTATTTTGACAACAGAAGTTGACTTAACTTTGAAGTTCAAATGACCGATGTAACTATTAATCTATTATTCTACTATTATTATTCAAGCCCCAGCTTCAGTACTTTGTGGTGCATCTTTAGCTTTTATAACTTCTAACAAACGTTTTTGGTAAGTGCTGACGAGCGTCTTACACCTCTCGATCGGAATTTTACAGCCTCTAGCTCAGTGATGTTTGATGGCTGCTTTCTTTAAATCCTACCAAAGATTTTCAGTCGGATGTAAATCTGGTGACTGAGAAGGACACTCCTCGACGTCCCTGGATCTTTTTCTCAACCAAGCTTTGGTTGACTTGGAGGTGTGCTTGGGTTCATTGTCATGCTAGAAAGTCCAATGATCACCAAGGTTTTATTTTTCAACAGAAGGCATCACGGTCCTCTTTAAAATGCCCTGGTATTTCTGGGAATCCATGATGCCAGGTACAGGATCGCGATTGCCAGTTCCTGACACTGAAAAACAGCCCCACATTATCAATGACCCACCTCCATGCTTGACTGTGGGGATGGCATTCTTCTGGTCATAAGCCTGGCTTTTTGAATGCCAGACATACCGCTGGTCCATATGTCCAAACAACTCCAGTTTGGTTTCATCAGTCCAGTGCACATCTTGCCACTGAAGCACATGTACTAGACATCATCAGGTCATCCTGTAGAGGTGTCTTGCAGTCACACGGGGGTTTCTCTTAGTTGTTCTGACTAAGGTGCTAAGGGCCCTTGATGAAATGGCCAGGCAAGTTTGTAGCTGTTCCATAGGTTTTAAACTTCCTTATAATGCTCCCAATGCTGTCTCTTAGAATTTCTTTAGAAATCATCTTAAACCCAAGGCCCTTCAAGTGAGTTGAAATAATCTCCTCTCTCAGCTTTTGTGGAAGCTCCATTATCTTTCCCATGATTGCAACTCACCATGAACACCTTCATGAGTGGGGTTTATATGCATCACAGCTGAAGCAAATGCAGGATCATTATAGATTTCCCAAAGACTTAATTATGTTTCAACTCCATTTTAGACCATAAAAGCTGTCAGACAGCTTTAAGAACAGCAATATTATATAGGGAGTTAACAATTGTGACATGGCTATCTTAACAAAATATACTGTTACACACAGATACTACATCATGCATATTCTGCGTTGATTTTATGTTTCACTCAACTCAGAAAGTCATCCAATGCAGTCTTTCTCTGAAAAATCTTTAATTGATAAATCCTTAAAATCGTGGGAGGGTTGAATATTTCTGATTGCAACTTTACATGACAATATTGATACTGTTGTGTCACAGCAAGGTCCAATAGAGTTTGGACTTTGCCACGAACCTCTTGCTGTTCTGGGTGACTGAAAGAAAGCTGTTATCAGTGCACTATTAGTCTGACTCCAGAGATTTAGGAGAGTTTTTTTTTACACAGATAAAAAGACAATTAGAAGTGATGAAGGTGGAATATATAGCTCTGGCTTTGTTAAATAACGAAATGTGTGCTAAAATTGTGTGCACGTATGCAAGTCCATGTGCAGATACTGGAACAGTTTAATGTCGCAATGTCCCACACACATTCTGACAGGTAGTTGGAAGATAGAGGAGAAAGACTAATTTGATATGTGTCTCCCTCCTCTCTGTACTTGAGCTACTTACATCAGTGAAACCATTAGGAACTGCTGTTTATCTCACTGAGTACTGACAGTTCCAATGTGCTCATAAATAAAAAGGTGTGTGTTTGTGTGCACCAGCGTGTGTATGTGTACCGTACAGTTCAGACTGATGGATGAGTGGTGGAAAGGGAGGATGTAGAAGATGGGTGGTGAGAAGAGGAGGAGGAGTGAGAGGACAAAGAGGAGAGAGCTGGAGTATCCACAGGTCACGGGTGACACATTTAATGACGGGGTGATTCTTGTGTGTTTGACACTGTTACGAGGGGGTGGCTCTTGTGTTTGACAGCCCAACTACTCTGCTGCTCTCAGGAAATAAGATGTATTAGACACTGGGCTGCTCAACAGTTCAAATATCAGAGCTGGACAGACTAAACAAGCCAGAGCGGTGAAAGTTTAGAGACACACATTTGTGCATGTCTGACACGCTGTTACCCCCAAATATGGAGTGATATGGGTCAGGTAGACTAGGAAACACACACACACACACACACACACACAGATGAATAAACTTTGGAGGAGGAAGGCAGACAGCAGGAGGGACTGTGTAAGCGTTGAGTTTGTATTTGTGTACAGGATGTGTCATTAAAAGGTAGACTAAGTTCACAACACTACTCTGTGTGCTTAAGGGATGTTTGGAGTTTTATTTAACTAACTGAAAGCAATCATTTCAACCAAATATCATATCAAGTTATTGTGCCTTTGGAAAACACAAGGTCATTGTGTGTTTTTCTCCACATCGACTAGATAGATTTTGCACTTCCTGGTTCATCATGAACCTACCATAGTTAAAATGTTTTGTGCAATTGATGGTTAAAATTGACATTTTGGGTGAATTCACCTTGCTTTTACTTTCTAAATAATTTAGGGTAAGCAAGAATATGTTGACAACCTGTATTAACTCCCTGTGTACCAGCCTGCCCTAAAGGTGCTTGCAATATTTCCACATCCCCAGGTCTTGGCAGTTAAGTCGGTGGGTAAAATGTTATCATAATATTAACGGCCACAACTGAAAATAAGACCCAGGCTGAATTAGTCTTCGTGTTTGAATAAAAAGTGTCAGTCAGGTAAAGATAACTCTGTTTTTGTGACTTTCAGGTTCATGAAGAATGCTGGCTCTGTTGTAGATGCAGTTACGTGGCAACAGTAGGTATTTTACCCTTTTTTTCTATTTTATTATTTTGTCCATGGAAAGCCCCAACAGTACACTACTCCATTAACTAGCCTTAAATCTAACAGCACGTACCATGTTGTGTTTTATACCATTTTCACCACATTGTATATATGCAGTAGCCAGTAGGAACTGTTATTAACACTGTTACTGAGAGAGACTGATGCATAATGTGGAGAACCGTGTTTATCCTTTAAATGGAACAACAGGAAAAGGAGCCTGAGAGAAAGATTGTGTGTGTGTGTGTGTGTGTGTGTGTGTGTGTGTGTGTGTGTGTGTGTGTGTGTGTGTGTGTGTTAAATTAGTAACACCTGCCATCTATTGCACATCCTGCAGGAATGTACACAGAGATATCAGTGGTTTGATCTTTTCCCCCCATGTTTTATCTGTATCTCTATACACACATGTAAAATGTGTACAAAAAGACACATGCACTGTAAGCTCAGACAAGCCCAATGTGGCTGAGTGAGTGGTCATTAAGGTGAAGGTCAGGTCTAATTAGGAGAAATTAGATGAAACGGAAGGAGGCAGGGCTGTCAGTAAGTCTTAGGAAAACACCACCCACACTGTTAAAATCAAACCATATGCTCTGGCTCATTCCCTCTGTCAATTAGCCCGTTTTACACTAGAGGTCCAGATTCCAGTCTAACCAGACTGCGTGACAGAAACTCTGACCTCTACAAAAGAAGCCAAACTAATAAAACTGGAGACCACTCATTAACACGTCTACAACACAGGTTTTACTCCACTGCAGCTGGCTTGAGTTGTTTTGAATCAAGCTTAGTAGGTAGGAAATGCAGAATTCGTTATAGACTAGTTTGAAAAGCGTATGGAGTTGTTAGAGAGTATGTCTGCCTGTGGCTTATGGTCAGAAGGGTTCTGTTGGAGCTTGCGGTGATGAAACGTGTTGGTTATGTCGTGAAATATTTGTGTATCTCCAGATCACGAAACATTGATATGTGGTTTGCATTCTGTTATGACATTTGTTCCACAACACTGTAGTTTCACGTCTGCTGCATCTTGTCTCAGTTACTGCTTATCCATTTTTGGATTCACCAACAAAACATGTTCAGTATCTCTAGTCATTCTCTCTTAATCTTTCTGTCGGCCTGTCTGTCTGTCTGCCTCTTCTCTCTCTTTCCATCTTTTTGCAATATTAGGTTTTCTTTCACTTTATCTAGAGTGCGTCCATTTTTCCAAGGTGCTTGCCTGGATGTCTGGATACACAGCTGTTTTTCTGTATCTTTTCAGGGCATTTTAATCCTAACCCAGATATGTTTTATGAAAGTAAAAGGCTCAGTTCACCCAAATGATGAAAAAACATTTACTCACTTACCTCTAGTGGTATATATCCACACAGACTCCTTTGTTTTTATTTGCTTTGGTTTTGAGATACGTTGCTGAGATTTCTGCCTCCTAGCCAATACAAGGGAGAATTTCATTTATGGTGCTCACACCACATGAAAAAAAAATCAATCAGGACATCTCGCGCCAGAAACTTGTCTCCCCATTACCCTGGATAATCCACAGAACACACAGTTGACAGTTTTCATAGAGACCGTTTGTTCAGTAGAAAGTAGCTCTTGTGAAAACTGTTCACAGTGAGTTCTATGAATTATCAGGACATTGTTTCTGGAGAGCATGTCGGTCCAACTCTTTGGTCCAGGCTGAAACTATTTGATAGATTGCCATGAAACTTTTCAGACATTTATGGGTCCCAGAGGATGAATCCTAACCACTTTATTGGTAAGGATTCATCCCTTGACTTCTCTTCTATAGCACCACCATGAGTTTGACATTTGAGATTTTAAATTAAAAGGCCCAACAGTTACTGGATGGATTTGGTACAGACATTCATGTCCTCAAGATGCATGGTCATAACTTTGGCTTACATTTTATCTATAACATCACAAGATCCATCCATCCATTGCCAACCGCCTGTCCTGCATACAGGGTCGCAGGGTAAAAACGAAAGGCAGGGTACACCCTGGACACATCGCCAGTCCATTGCAGGACCATCACAAGATCTAAATGTTATTTTGTCCAATGACAGCTGTTGGCTGCTTTGTGTTTATTGCTATTTAGCAAATGCTAGCAGGCTAACATTCTGAACTAAAAAGGTGAAGTGCAGAACATCAGTATGCTAGAATTGTCCATATGAGCATATTAGCAAGTTGGCGTTAGCATTTAGCTCAAAGCACTAATGTGCCTAACCACAGCAGCCTCACAGAGCCGCAGCATGGCTGTAGACTCTTGTTTCAGGAGCTGTGAGCAACACATAATTTCATATAAGGATATCTCAAACATGGGCAAATAAAACTAGAATCATCTGTGTGATTGGATTCCATTAAAAGTAAGTAAGAAAGAAGGTTTTTGTAATTTAGGTGAACAGTCTTTCATCTAAGACCTAATTATAACACCCATACCCTCTAACCTTAACTGTAGTGAACATGTTCTGCCTTACCTAACGGGCTGCTTCTTGGTGAGAGAATTAAGCCAGTCAAAAGTTTGACCAGACGGCTGCCAGTTCTAGCTGTGAAAATCAGAGCAAGGAAAGTGAGACAAATTTACGATTTGCTGTTTGGATGCCCCTGAGCAACACACTTAATGTGCGCCCTAATTGCTCCTACAGCAGGTAATGGTGGTGTTTTCATCAGAGTGCAAGCCAAACCCCCCTGCTAAACTTGTTTTACTAATAAAATGATGAAGGTTCACTTTAATGACCCTTGCTTTTGAAAATGAGTACTAAACACTGTGGAATCAGAAGCATTTTACTTTTTTACTTTGTTCAGAAACACATCAGTTTTACTCTTTGTAGTTACAGGCTCACATTTTAATCCGGCCAGGAAGACACATCCTACCTACCTACATCGTTCTTGTTCCTGACAGTGGTACTGCATGCCAGAGAGCATGGTGTGATGGTTATTTATAGCTGAGCGGAGAAAAAAGAGATGTTAAAGATTTGTGATCTCCTCCTTTCTGGTCTGAAAATCACAGAGGAACTGTAAATTTACTTATAGCATTCCTGAGGGAAACCACATATCCTACAACTGTTATGTAATGATTGATCTGATAATGACCTGCTGGTCCACATCAAGGAAAACATCCTCTTCTTACTTTGCTACCCCATTGCTCACCAGATGGCCATTCCTTGAGACTTGACAACTATTTGAAGTTATTACAAGTAAACTGTTTGTTGTAGACTATACTCCACTACAGCAGAAGCAAGTTTTACTAGTCAAACAATTAATAGCAACCTGTCCTATAAAAACCTAACCCAACATTAATGTGAAAGGAACCATTACTCTTCAGTACTTTTGATATTGGTATAATTTAACAGTAAATAAATAAAACATTTTAAATGTAGGTTTTTCCCTTTTTGCTCTTCCACCACTGCTTATATCTGTGCCCGGTCTGATTTGATCACATCTATTTCTAATCTCTAGTCTGTAGCCTTCTATATTTCTGTGTTAATAGAGTGGTAGATAGTTTTGTTTGTGGGCTGTCTTTGTTGCGGTGCTGGCACTCAGTGAGAGCTGTGGAAAACAAGCTGACCAAGTTGACCTTTGTCTGAAAATATTCAGAGACACTGTGTTGTTTATTCTTGCATTTTATTACATTCTGGTCAGTGTGGCAGCTAAAGTCTCATGCCAAACTTTGGATGAACAAAGAGAAAGGTTTTGGTTCTTTTTCAGGAGCTTAGATTTGAGCAATTGATCTGTTAGCAAGCTATGATCCCCCCAATCTTAGTCGAAATATTAGAACTGTTATCTTTATATTAATTTCTTTATATGATGTCTGCTCTAATTTAGTAAAGAACCAGATGCTTTTATAGACTATAGCTAAATTTCCCATTAGTACTGATTTATAGTGCACCATATAGCTATGATAATATGTACTGTCTTTCATTGTTCCATATATGAACTGGAATGTCTTTCCCCGGGATCTGGACTGAAGAATTATTGTGAGCTATCTGGAAAGATGACAGGATAACCAAATTATTTGTGTAAAGCTATGACTTAATCCGTACTTTGTTTACAGTTTGAGGCCAGGAGCTTGGGACTTTTCCAACACTGTGACGAAAATTTCAACGAGGTTAAGCTCAGATTGCAACACCGCTTCAACAACAATATTCAGCTCTGTTCTCAGCAGTTTTGTTGACACATCTGTCAGTTCTACAGACTTTTCCAAAACAGGTTCCATAGACGTTTGACCTTTGTTGATCTTTTGATGCTGCAGTTGTTATGATTATATGTTCTTCTTGTCTACTGCTTACTATTCACAAAACAGTGTAGTTCTTTAAAAAAGGTACAAAACATTTGCAGCTTTAAACCGGTCTGAAATGTGCTGATCTGGTATTTTTATTGATAACATTTGTTGCTTTAGAAGATCCAGAAGAAAAATCTCCTCCACAATGAGTAACAGTCTTTTCAAATCTCTAATTAACAGGTGTTACATCTGTTTTTGTTATTATTTTACTAGCCATGGTACTGTAAAACTAGTCCCAGTGAATGCCTGTGGATTTAAAGATCGAGCCATTACTTTTTCTCATTTCACGTCGCTAAATATTCGGTTGGTTTTGTCCCAAATAATGCCTCTACAGGAGTAGTTTTCCTTTTATACATGAAACCTTTACTGTTGCTTGTTAAAAACACTCCAAGTAAAACTTTTGTAATTCCTAACAAAAGCTACTTTCACTCTGCGTTTTTTTCCGGGAGTATTGCACTGTGCTGGAGCCGGAGAGGGGGTCCAATTTGATCCGCCTCTGAGCCGGGAACATTGGCAGTAACAGAGACGAAATGATGTTGGTTTATGCCGGTGTTGTATTGAAACGTAACGGTCTTTTTCTACGCCTCTGGTTGCGGTAAAGCCAGACCGCTATGTGAAAACACACAGGTTTGTGGGATTATGCCACAAACATGTGTTCAGTATGAATAAGCAAATGCGGCATATTGGCAGATATTCTTTCTGCGTTTATTGTGGGATCTCTGAAACCTAGACTGTATATAAAAGGTATTTACCCGCCAATGTGGCAGGAAGCCGTCCAACATTTAGCCACCAAACGGAAAATCTACCCGCATTTGGCACTTGGCGGGTGTTAATTTCCACCCCTGGTTACAGTCTACTATGGGTCAGTATTGTTTCCCTTGTATGACATCACTGGGTTATAAAATGTGCAAACATAATTTTCCACCATTATGATGATAATGTTGTTCTGCAGATCCAAGTGATGTGAAGTCAAAGAATGCCCTTCGAGGCTGGATTCTTAGCATTTAGTATTTACACCCATGAAGTTAGCATTCAAATTTTGCTGCTGTCTACAAAAAAGTAAATAACAAATATTTAGTGAAGCAGGTACATTCTATCACTTCATCAAAATGTTACAACCAAGTTACTAGACAGTAATCATTGTGTTTGAGTTTTGCCTTAAACTATCTTTGAATGAGAGGTTGAAAGGTTTGAGTAGCACTTGAAGTGATAATATTTTTTCTTTTAGAGTCTGTAAGATCTGGATTTTCCTGACCATGAACATCAGTTGGCTAATGAACCTTAAAACACATATACTGTGTGATTATGTTTTAGTCACTATTAGCACTTTCAAACTCCCTAATTTCCTCTCAGTTAACTGTTGAATGTAGGGGATTTGGGAAAATGTTTGGTAATATAGCTAAACCAACCAATACTTTAACAGTATTGTGTGGTCCTAATGTTGTAGTGTTGTTGATAGTATTCTTCTCTGAGTTCTCATACTTTCTTTCTTACTTTCTTATGTTTTATACTAATCATGAGTGAGTGAGTCATTTGATTGAAGACATAAATTATAGTTGGATTTTAAGACTCACGCATCAAATGTGGTTTTTTTCTACTGCAGTATAAAAAAGGATTAAATGTGTTCAATAACACCTGAAACATGAACTGGAGTGTGTGGTTGTTGCTCTCTTGTTTTCCTCTCTCTTCTTGGAGACGCTTTCTATCTGCCCACAGGGTGATGTTCCTCAGGACTTTGGCTCTAACTACCAATAAATCCTTCTCCCATCACCCTCTCTTAACATCATCTCTCATTATCATCTCTCTGTGTCTACATCGACACACACGCACACACACAGTATCTCCACAGATGGATGTCTGTGTTGTTCAGTCTCAGTCTTAAATCTCAGGGCTTCCAATTCCTCTCTTATGCAATCCCACATCTTAATAAGTCAGTACACTTAACTGTAATTGAAAATGTCGGTTCCTGTTCATCATAGCGGTTGATGTATTGTGTATTGAAGCCAATGGAAATTCTACTTAGTGGTTTGGATTTTAAAGCTGTAGTCCATAAAGAGCCACCGCAGCTTTGATGCTTGTGTTCCATTTGTGATTTTTTTTCACTTTTTGTTGTTGTTGTTATACAGTTAAAATGTCATTGACCTACCTGGCAGTGTAATATGTTATTAGAGTATGTCATAGGATATTGTTTACCAAGGTGATGTAGGTAGATGGCACTAGGATTTTCAACTGCACATGACCTAATGAAACTGGACAATATTTATTAATAACATGGGATATGGACAGTGCCTTATTAGTGGGGAGACACTATTGGAAATTATGTTTGGTGAATAGATTATAAAGCTTTTTTGACTTGGCTTAAATTCGCCCTTTTTGGTGTTTCATGACTGTCAATATGGAGGAGGATATAATAACATTAAATGATATATAGTTTTAATTCACATTTTAACTTGAAATTTGTATTCATTTTGATTTTAAGTGATACAAGATCAAACTCTGTAGAGGTTAAGCAGGTGGATGGATGGATGGAGAATCACAACGAAGCTTGTACATTTCAGTTTATTTTTTACCATCTGTAATGTAATAACAATAATGTTTGTTGCTCACTTTGTAAAGAGTGTTTCTCTCACAGAATCTTATGTCACATTTCCATTACAGTTATTACATGGATGGCAGAGTGAACAAAGTGGAGGACTTCCTAAAAACTCGTCTGTTGGACACACTGACAGAACAGATCGCTAAAGTCACTGAGGTACTTAAGTTTCCCTCAAAGTCCTGGAATTAAAATCATCTCAGTTTATATATGATGTATGTGTGGCTGCTCAATTCATACCCTAGGTGACTTCTAGATCTGTACTGTAGATATGAAATATCTGGTATATTTCAGAGGTCACATCTTAGTTCTATTCCCTGTTAAACAACGTTACCCCATTTCTGTCAATATAGACTTTCAGATGAGCCTGCGGAAGGATAAGAAGATAATCATAAAAAATATATTTGCATTTGTTTTGAGTTTGCCAAGTTACAGATCAGCCCTCAGGTAGCTTTTGTGATGACAAAGCCAAATGTGCAAACCACATAAGTGACCCTTTAAGGTAAAATGGTTGTGTCCACCATGAGGTCATGTTATGAACACTAGCTGCTGTGGCAGACTTGCTGAGTTGTAAGAGATGAACAGCGCCAAAGTGCCTCAGGGAAAAAGAACCAATCACAGAAACAAAACTTTCAGTGAAATGTAATGGGGGTGGGATTCTCCTGTGCTTTACCACTCAGCCATAGTCAGTGGGATCAGGTTGTTGTGTTTCTTAAATGTGTATGTGTACAGTGAAGAATAAATCTTGATGTTTCTGTGTCTATTTAAATATGTTGAAGTGTTTTGTTGCCACTTTGTTGACTTTCCATCAGCTTGCATGGTCACTAAAATACAGTCAGTATCAGAAAACTATTCAGTACAACAAAACATAATTCGTCAATACCTAAACAAATTACCTGATTTACACATAAAAAAAGTTTGATCCCATTGTAATGGCCATTTTTAAATAAAAAATAATGCATTTATTTAAAGGACCTAGAGGTTAAATCCAAATAGAGTTTTCACAAAGTTGATTTCAGCGTGGTTTTTGTTGATACAGGTTGTGAAGACACATACTCCTGGTAAGAAGGTGTGGCTGGGTGGACTGGGGCCGGCATGGGCAGGAGGCATCAGCAATCTCTCTGACACATACGCTGCTGGCTTTCTGTAAGTTCTGTCATCATACTGTAGCTTCTTGAGAAACCATTGTGGTGTGTTCAGTACATAATGATGCATTTATATGTGATATTAATGAACTGAATCAGCTGCAATAGATAATTTTTATATTAAAGTATTACAGATTATACAATACATTTAGTATTTTAGTGGCAAAACGTATCTCAATCAACAGCATATACTGTTGCATTCCTGGTATTTTTCTTTCTGTGTCTATGTGTTCATGTGTATTCCAGGTGGGTGAACACGCTGGGTATGGCTGCTTTGCAAGGGATTGATGTTGTCTTGCGTCACTCATTCTTTGACTACGGATACACACACCTTGTGGACCAGCACTTTAACCCTTTACCTGTAAGCATCTCAATTTCAGTTCAGCAAGGATTAGAATGGCTATTGGTTAGCATTGTTAGGGCCTTGATTCACCCTTCTTCATCATAATAACGAACACCTGACCTTAGCAGTCCTGTTACACTCTGGACCTTTTCTGTACCATACCCAGTGCCTCGGTGGCACCTCTCGCTCTTTCCCGTGGGAGCTATTAGGTGAGATGAAAGGCGTTTATTGGTGATGAGTGGTTAGACGCGGGGGCGAAATGCCATGTAACCTTAGCCTTTTGTCAGTACCTCAGGACAGTGTCACTGCTCCCCTCAACCCCCATCACAACTGTGTGCTTCTCTGTGCGGGAAGGTCGGCTGTTGAGAGATCTGCAACCTGAGATGCTGATACACAGGCATGTTAGTAAAATAGCCTGCAACACTGTGTGAAATGGAACTGCCCCATCCCAGGTTCCTCCATGGTTTGGTCTGAATCGTGCAGAGACAGAAATACAAGAAGCTTAGTCCACAACACTGTATTGATCATCTGAACTACGCTGTTGTTGTATTAAGTTGAGTCGATGAGGGGCAAAGAATTTTGACACAGATGTGTAGGATCTATACTTCTGAAGTCATTATGATATTCCTTGGTATTTTATTTCTTTAAAAAAAGGGAGACTTAATTCTTGTCTTAGTGTTAAACTGATCTCATTTGCTCGGGGGAAATGATGGAGTATGAAGGAGTGATAAAATGCTGCCATGAGCCAAGTTCGTAAAAAAGATTTATTAATTCATAAAAAAGGGTTTATATTAAGCTGAGGCAGATCAGGGGTGAGAGGCTTTCATTAAGGAGGTGTACAGTAAATCATTGTTTCTACTATGAAAAGGAAAGATTTTGGAATCAAGGCATTAATCAAACATTTGTTATTATTCAAGATTCTTCTATTCTTGCATTGGTCAGAAAAAGCTGCTAGAATGACTACTGGCAATCCCAAAATACTGTTTTAATGTTATTGGGCTCGAAATCAACTAAATCCCTCATTAGTTCTCTCTGGCAGGCATGCACTTTCCTCTGCCTCACTTCAACAAAGGATATTAAACAATCGAGATGGCTTTATTTTTCTTCCCTCTTTGTCTCCATTATTTTTGTGGGACTGATGGTCTCCTGCTAGGATCACAATGCTTTTAACATGGCTGGATGTCTAAAGGCTGCAACGGCCTACCTGCTGAGAGAATTCACTGCAGGGCCAACCTGTCCTCTGCATTGGAAATTTATGACTTGGCCCTTTCCCCTATAGGATGACTCCCACATTGGTGGAATCCAGTCCAAGCCTTCTGCCCGCTGAATGACTCAACCCCTTCACCTTTTTCCGCACTTATGCCCTTTCTTTTTTCTTACGTGCTCTTCTGTCCCAATCGTCCCCTCGTCGTCTTTTTCGTCGTGTTTTGTTTTGTTCATACTCTACATGTGTCTGTTGTCTCCCTCCAGAGGTTGTAAACCCTTAAACTAAAATGATGGTTGTTCTTGTCTGAGATTCATGCTTTGAGAAGCAGAATGGTAGTACTTAGTGTCTGGCAGTAGGCGAAGGCATATTGCTCCTGTCTGAAATAATTGCCCTTCAAATGCTCTGAGAGAGAAACTTTCTGGTGAATCAATACAGTTGTCTAACCCTCAAATAGTCAGAAAAACATATTTATTTCTCAGACACAAAGCAGGGAGATGAGGCAATAGGATAATTGTACATATGTTTACCCTTTCCGAGTTTTCTGTTAATTTTAATGGCTGTTATCTATTTAATATTTTACGAGAAACCCAATTAGAGCCTGCGGAAGATTGTTAACTTCTTCATGTACTTGGTTTAATTAAAAACACTAAAATGTTGAGCTTCCCGCTAGATGCAGTGCAATAATACAACCTCATACTTTGATCTTTGGATTCTTGGGGATTAACAGGCACGAGTAATCACGGCAGTCTGACTCTCATTTGCCCTATTTAGTTAAACACTAAAGGTTAATTGTTATTCTCCTTGTTATTGTCCTCTTATTACCTTAACTGTGCAGCTGAGGTTTGATTGGTCTCTGGAGTATGGTTTTACTTTTCTGGAGTCCTTGACATTTGTGACCGTCTTTCTCTTTATTTCTTGGTCTATATGGTATTACGGTGTCTTTCTGCCCGTCTGTCATTCTATCCAGAGAAGCATAGTTGGGGGCAGAACAAACAGGGAGACAGACACGCTATTAGATAGGAAAATGGGCAGACAGTCAGTCCGCTGATTTAGGACCTCAGCTGAAATTTTTCCTAAAAAATCCAGTATCATGTCCCGCCAATTCCTGGTCTGGTCTGTGATTTTAACACAGACGTAGTTTAAAATGTATAAATTTTTTACAAATTTAAACCCAAACTAAGAGTATAGCATGGCTTTGGCCATCTTTCACAAATAAATCTCCAGACTCATAACTGTTCTTTGTTTTATACACTGTGTATTAATCATAGATCACAATTCTGGCCATACATTCATCCACACACTCCTTTGCCTGTGGCCAACACTATACAGTTCCATACTGTGCTCTGCTTCTTCGATGCCTTGGCAGCAAATTAAGTTAAAGCCTGCATGGAAAAAAGAAGCCCTTAAATGTTGCCATATGCAGGATTGCATGGGAACTTCCTGAGGAACACATGTTGTTCTGGGTCTCTCGGAGAGGTGTTGAGTCTGTGTAGTCTATAGAGTGAGACACAGTATGGTGGACCACTCAACAATGATAACAGAAAACAGCAATTCATGATGGAGCATAATATTTTGTAAAAATGTCATATTTAAGAGCTGTCAATTCTAAACGGGTCAGCAGTTGTTAGATACAATGTGACATGTTACACGGGACAATCAGCTCCAGCTAAATGTTGGGTGTCAAAGTGCTGACACATTTGGATTTGCCATTTTGTGGAATATATCACTTTCCTCACCCTGTCACAAACTAGCTGCTTTGATGGCACGTTCTTGATTCTCACAGTTTGAAAAACTTAATCTTTTTCTACAATCACCAGGATATTTCATGGCTGAATAAACAAAATAGAGATTTTAGCAATATTTCCTTTCAATGGAATCCAGAATCCAACACTTGTAAATAAAGAGTCTCAATAAAAAAAAGATTTACCTTTACTTTTAAATACTGTGGAGTTAGCAGTGCTTTTAAACAGTTTTCCCCTTGGGTCAGATCAGGTCTTTAAAACTTCATTTCCACACCTGCGTGCTTTTACATTGTATCTTTAAACAACAACCCAGCAAATCCTGTCCTCAGCATTGTGAGGATACAATTAACCTATACTATCGCAATAATGATGCCAAATGTCTGTCTGCGTGTGTGTGTTCGAATGGTGTTGCCCTTACAGGATTACTGGTTCTCTCTGGTCTTCAAGCGTCTCGTCGGTCCAAGGGTTTTAGCTGTGCGGGTGGCTGGACTGCAGAGAAAGCCACAACCAGGACGAGTCATACGAGACAAGCTACGCATCTACGCCCACTGTACCAGCTACTACAAGTATGTGCTACAGCTGAACCACCTTGGATTAGTTTGTAACCTGCACATAAACACAGCAGGAGTGTATATTATCATTATATACTGTGATCTTGTCATTTTTTTTCATTTGAGACTGACAGATGGCAAAGCACACATCCTCTAGCCTTTCATTGATGTGTAGCTATACTTTGGGAATGTTCTTGAAGATTTAGATGGAAAACAGACTGTGGCTTTAACTTTTTCTACTCCCTGTGTTGACCTGAGACTTAATGTCTGGTGGGGAAGAACAAAATCCCTTGCCGGCCCATTCGGCATCCCATAAATAAGCAGACGGCAGACACCCGCTCATTCACAGCTCAGAGCCTATAAAACTTAACGGGTATCACTTATCAGATGTGTGGGTTCTGCCTCCCTGCCGTCAAAGAGCCGCTGAAAGGTGTGCGAGGCCTTTATCCCATCTCAGATTGGCTGGAGGGGGTATTCGAGGGGGAGGGGGAGGGACAATAAGGCGGTCTGTGCCGGGATGAGATAAAGAGTACCACCAGGGCCTGTTCAAGGTTATCATTTAACCCAGAGGCTGTCAGCACCAGGCTAGACTTACTGCCTTACTCTAGACAAGGCTCGTTTACAGGTGGAGCATCTCTTAGAAAAATAGTGGAGTGCTGCACAGATAGATGGTCGATAAATGGGCTGGAGTTGCATAACAGCCTGATGACATGCACGCAAATATTTGAAATAGTTCTCAACAAGTGTACTCAATCCCGATATGTATGGTGTATGGTGAATTTGGGAGTATACCGATGCCATGAGGTGCCGCTCAGCACCACTCAACATACCAATCATCCCTGGACTAATTATCAGACAGTGAAACACTAAAGCAATCCTTCTTCAATCCAAAGCCAGCATTTCTGCCGCTTTGTGGTTTACGCAGACAGGCCTTAAGTGGACGACGTGTCGAAGTCTTAGTGGTTTCACTATACTGTGTAAGACAGCAAAGACTATAAATGTGCTCAGGCAATCAGATGTTTGAAAAGCCTTTGCATATTAGATATTTGACTTTCACTGCCATCTTACCCCTTTTAGTGGTTTGCGTGGCATTTTTTTCACTTTCCAGCAATGCTCCAACATCAAACGGCATCAACACATGTTTATGTTCCTGGTTTGGATCTCTGAGAACCTAAAGAGCCTGAGAAAACATTATCTCTCCCTCCATCTAACCATCTGATTTATCATTCGGGGCCATGGTCCACGTTTCTCAGAAACAAGAGTCAGAAACACAGCGTTCCCATCAATAGTACAATACTATATTTCTCTTGGTAAATGTATTGAATATTGGATGTCTTGCAGGGTTAATGAAATAAATTGCTCACCCTGGGCTCAAAAGAAGAAAGATAAACATCAAATCAAAAATGAGACGAGATATTTTGGGGGTGGCAACTGCGAGAGATGTCAACCAAACCGTTCAGCCAAAGCACAGCCCTGACCCTGAACACCAAGGCCGACATGTGTTATTCACTACAGCTGTGTTGTCTTTGTCCTCATATCTGGGCCCTTATTAAATTTTATCATGTTTATCTTATCTGTCTCGCTTAGTTATTTACCTCTGGCCAGTATCCCTATCAAGTTGTGTCCCCGGCTCTTTGCTCTCAGGAGAGAGACTTAAACACTGTTGTTTGTGTAACTCAAGAAGTGTTGCCCGTTGTGTTCACACCCTACATCAGACCCCGGACCATACAGCGACAGGTTTTAATATTGGATAGTGTACAAGAGAAGCAAAACTTTTTCACCAGATAGCTTTAATAGGGATGATAAAGGCTTCGGAAATGAAATGCGGTTTATCATGGTTCATACTAAATATAGATGATATGTCTTATGCTATGATCGACTGCTTAGCAATGGAATTCCATTGTTGAGCAGGCTTTATCTTATTTTATTATTTTTCTGCAAGCCTTTTGATCTAGATTAGATCAAAGAGTTGTGGTTTGATTCTTATCCTATATGTGATTAAAATACAGTATCACAGACTTTCTTCTTTGTAGTCATCTTTAATTATAGAGAATTGTATTCAACATGGCAATGTAATATATAACGAATCCCTATTAACAGATGTGGAGAGGAGCCTCTTTTTGCTTTTTTTGTTGTGTCCTGATTGTCCTTAATGTACAGGGAAATGAATCTAATGTTGTTCATCATTTTCTTTACGGTACTAGTCATAACTATGTGAGGGGGTCCATAACAATCTACATCATCAACCTGCATCGTTCACGAAAGAAAATCAAGTTGGCAGGGACGTTACGGAACAACACTGTCCATCAGTACCTACTGCAACCCTACGGCACTGACGGACTCAGAGCCAAGTTAGTATCTCTTCCTCTGTCTCTCTGGCTCATACACATGCACACATATGCATGCACAGGGGGAATACAATGATTGTTTTCTATCTAAACAACAATGTGGTCTTCTTATAGAGTATCCCGTTCCATTTCTTCATGCAGATCAAACAAGACGAATTCACTGGTGAGAGACCCAGTTTACCAAAACAGCTGTACAAGCCTTTCACTCCCAAACACAAGCCAAAAACTTTTTCAAAGATTTTTCCTCTAATGATGAAAACCTTGGTTGAAGAAGGTTTAAAAAGTAATTATGATTATCAGAAACTTTTAAAGGGGAACAATGACTGAGCCCAGAGTTCCAGTGTGTTTGTGCCTCCGTCTCATTCTGTTTTTATGGCCTACAACAGATGTTTTATGACTTTTCATGTCCTTTCATAGTAATCCCATTTTAAGTCTAAATTCTGTTCTACTAACAATTATATTATAAGTATAACACAATTGTATGTTTCGCTCTATGTAACAAGGTAATATAATTCATATTGCCTTAAAATGTCTTAAAATTAAAGCTTTATGCTCTCAGTCTCTTCCTCTCTCCTTTTAGCCCACAGCCTGTTATTGTGACTCAGACTTTAAGCCTCAAATCCTGGAATAACAGCCTAATGACTCAGGACTGTGTGTGTGTGTGTGTGTGTGTGTGTGTGTGTGTGTGTGTGTGTGTGTGTGTGTGTGTGGGGTTGTGTGCATCTTTTGTGCTATACGATACCTATATACGCCTTAATTGAGGCTCAGGCATGATCCTTCAATAACAGCATAATGACAGAGGATGTTTTAGGTGTTAGAACAGGATTGCAAGGCACCTAATGGAGAACAACCTAACGATGGGCCTTAAGTGCTTTCCTTTACCACCGGCAGCGCAGAGAGACTTTAATGAAGAATGAAGAAACACCAGATGTCTATAAATTTGTCTGAGACTGTCTGGGACTTTTTAACACTGGCCAAGTATTGAGGTCAATGCACGTTTGATACATAACTTGTACTTATTGCGCATAATTTAATTTGCTATTATATTTGAATTTGAGATTTGCGTAAACAAACACAAACAAACCACAGGACCTAATCCCTGTATTATTGTGAACTTTACAATATAACACTAAAAAATGGTTACTAATAACAGCAGCACTTTTAAGTTGAAACGTTGTGTGTTAATGGTGTCATAAAGTACAAATACAGTATGAGGAGGAAATTTCTCTTTAGAACATGATTTATTATATTGCCTATCACAATTAACTGATTTGCTGTTAATATACTTAAATAATATCTTGTATAGATAAAGAGGAACTAGGCATTTTTAGATTTAAAAAATGTGAAAGTCACACTGAACATGACTGTCCTACTGTATTTTTTAAATTTAAATTTAAATTAATTATTGTACAATCTTCCTGTGATAATTATCTTCATGTTCAGCCCATAATCTGTTTGTAAAAGTGTGCACCTTAACTTTTTACTGTGACGTGTTATCGCTACTCTTCAATAATGTTTCATATTGTTTGAAATGTTTTGTTCAGGCAAAACTATTACTATATATTGTTGATGCTATGTCGGGAATTAAATAAATAAAGCTATTAATAGCCTTTACAAAAAGCAGACATAAAGCAACTCATTGTTTTCGCTGCGCAAATAAATACGGGAAGGTGAGACATTTGCTTCTTGTACCAGGACAAAGCTGCATGTGAGCATTTACCTAACAGTTTTAAGTTAGCAGCATTTCTCAGTTGCACTTACTGTGTATCTAGTTTGTGTTGCAATTGATCCTCCCTTCCCAGAATACAAAGGAATAGTTTTAGCTGTTTGCAAAAAGCGAACTTATTTTACTTTTACACTATGAAATGTTGTTGAATAAACAGTATTATAGCGTCTCAGGCAAAGGTATATTTTTGTAACATGAAATTATATACAAATAATAATTTTAATATGATTTGTCTTTGAAATCCTTATTTAAGATTTTTAAATTCATTTTAATAGTTTTTGTAACTCTATAACTTGTACTGCTGAAGTAGCCTATTTACTTTGCTTTAAGTCTTCAAAATATACTATTTCAATCCAAACTGTAGATAAAACTATGCAGTTGTGAAATTGCAATATTGTAACAACAGCACCCCCAAGAGTACAACTGACAGAATCATAACCCTTAAAGGCAGAAGGTGTGTGGAATGATCCAGACTTGCATATCTTTTGTTGATGAGGTAAAAAACCTTATCAACTACCTTTACTGCCTTATCTTCATTTCGCATATTTTATTACAACTACCAGATTTATGTGTCAGAAGGGGGACTGTCAAGTGTCTCACAGAGCTAATTCAGTCTGTATTTCATGTTTTCTTTTCTTTGTAGACATGTCCAGCTGAACGGACAGAAGCTGCTTATGGTGGACAATGAGACATTCCCGGAGTTGAAGCCTAAGACATTGAGGGCTGGACGGACTATAGCCATGCCTCCCATGACCATAGGCTTTTATGTCATCAAAAACATTAACGCATATGCCTGCCGAAGATAACATTGACCCTTCATCCCTGAGATACCGGTGTGATGCACAAAAGGCCGTCAAACCACCAACCCTCCTCCAGTTTCACCCAAAGCTTTAAAAAAAAAAAGTGTGGCTCTTCATTTTTTTCACCTTTCTGGAAAACACAAGGAGGTCAGACAACCACGTTGTTAGGATTTTTGCTCATGGACACTTAAGGACACTTGGTTTGAACACAAAACGATCATGTAGTTTAACAACAGCCTCTTTGAAACCTTTATTTCAATGGAAATATTTAAACCTCTCTACCAAATTATGCGTTTTCCTTGTTCTCTTCTCTGGTCCAACAAAGAAAGACTTGCCCAACACGCATAAAAAGGGCTGCACTGAACACTTTTCATTTCCTTTCACCATCAATTCCTCATATGCTACAAGACTTGTATGGACAGTGATTATTTTATGCCTTTTTATGAAGTTTTGTAGTTACAAAAAGTCCATTCTTTGACTTTTAGTTAAGCTATATTTTCTTCTTTTGGAATGTCAAACCAAGGGTTTGCTATCTGTGCATCTGCCAAGAGAGGCTTTTTTTCCGAATCCTTCACTGTCAGGCAGACAAAAAGGTATGAGAGACAACTCTCAACAGGTAGCATTTCTGAAGCATACACAAGTCAATCTCAGTTTGACTTGATCCTTTCCACAAAGAGAAAATGTTATGGTGTGTGTGTGTGTGTGTGTGTGTGTGTGTGTGTGTGTGTGTGTGTGTGTGTGTGTGTGTGTGTGTGTGTGTGTGTGTGTGTGTGTGTGTGTAAGCTCATGCCTGGACTAACCAAGTGCTCTGTGTGTATGTGTGTGTTTTATTGATAAAGCTACTGATGTGTCTGTCCAGTCTGTTTGATGTGCCTTTGATGAAAGATGCATTTCTTCCCGTGCCATATCAAGTGGATTAAAGGGAAAATCTGTTTCTTCTAAAGGCTGTTATTTTAGGGGTGTGACGATACAGTTAGCTCACGAGACGAGACAATACATGATATTGGGTTCACAAGAACGAGATGAGACGAGACATTTGAATACTATTTATAGGAAATCTTAGATGACGAACGATATGATTGGAAAAATTGTTTTTTATTTGACTAAAAGTCACAAAATGCAGAAGTGCAGGTGCATTTTGAAATGTTGCTTACATATTGTTGGTGCCTTGTCTGTCACTCTGTGGCTGTTTATTGTTTCCACCGGGTACCCAAAATGCTGCCAAACAAACGATTTAAAAGTGGCGGGGGCATCTTCTATGCTAATGTCACCTTCACACACCGTCATGCTGATATCATGAGACAGCTTTTCACCTTGACAAGAAATATCATCACGTTTTAATAATGCAAGGTTTCGTCACACTCTACTGTTTTTGTATGTTTTGTGTATCATTACTTTTCTGCTGCAGGTTTTAATCAGTTTAACTGCAGAGTACGATAGCCAGGATGTCTTGTTGGTACTGTTTGGCAATGCACATCGAATGAACAATGTGAACCCATCCATAACATTTGTCCTCACATTGCCTGCAGCCACAAAATCTGGGTTTTGCTTTAGATTCAAAACTTATAAAATACCAGTTCAGTTCAGGTGTATTTGAACCTATCTCACTATCTTCAGTGTGATCTCACGTTTTATAATCTTTTGCTGCTAGGGTTTTTTTGTACTAAATTTACATTATATATTTTACAGAATTTTGTACAAATTTACTGTCATGTTATTAGATGATGTATTGTACATAAAACAAGAGTGATGAAAATAAGTGATTTAAGCTTGGTAAGTTTACTTACACACCTAATTTATATAATTAAATACTTTGCTTTGTTTTTACATTTCTATTATAAAAGACTCAGTTATTTTAGTGACACTAATGCCCAACTCTAAAGAAAAATCTAAAATAATTTTAAGAATGTATTCATTGACTAACAGGTTGAAGGAGTGACTGTGTTAAAATGCAAACGTCAGTGTGACAATTTGCAAGAAAAGGGCTTTCCTTAAGATGGTTTATGGTTCATAACCCATGTTTCACATCTGCATTTATTTTTGTTTTATTTCATAATATTTTAAGGATCTTATTTAAAGAGGGGCTCGTTATTCTCTAGACTAAAACCAACAGATTGAGTCAAAAATGTTGTTCATGTACTCTGAATTGACATGAATAAGAACAAAGATAGCATTTCTAGACTCTTAGATGGTGGAAACAGGAGCAGGTTCAGTGTCTGAATTTATTAAATATAAAGATATAATTTGTCCTCTGAATGTGTTCATAGTTAATGTAGAGGTGTTTATATTTCTTTTGGAGAGCATTATTTTAATATGTGAAGTGTGCCTATATATTATTTTTTGTAAAGAAATGTTTACATTGATAATAAACACTTACAAATACCTAAGAAGTCATATTTGTTCTGTATATTCAGAGAAATCTGCACTAAAGCAGGGAATGCATTCCAGCTCACTACACTGCATACAACTGAGGATTTGGTCCCATCATGCGAATTAACATTGAGCAATGCAACGGGACTCAGTTCTCAGGATATGACAGGGATCTGCAGAAGCAAGTGGTTGCAATAGAAGAAAATGAGAATGAGATGAGCGAACCTGATTTATATTTGCACGGGAGCACAAAGAAAAGCAGAAATATCCTCGTAGAAAAAGAACCTATCAATAAAAACTGTAATTCTAGCTGAGTCCTTGAACAAAGGTACTGGAGTATTAAAGGTTCTGCTGGTGGCATACACATTCGCTCTTACAAACAGATACTGTTACACTCTGTGGCCCCAGATGTGAAAGCAGCTGGAGCAAGTCTTTGTAGTGGGAAGAGTGCTGTCTTGTCACTGCATGAGGCAGCTGCTGATGGGAAACATGAAGCCAGGATGGGCCTAAAACCTCGAGATCTTAGCTTTGGCCCAGACAGACTAAACCTGGGCCAGACCTGGCTCTGTGTCTGCTGATGAATAGGCACCTGGGATCTGCGTGGTAGAATCATGTAGAAGGAAGATGAAGGACTACGGTTAGATCTTGTGGGCCCCTGGATTAAAATGCTTGTCTGTTCAGACAGAAAACTGCACTGAAATGATTTCTATAGAAAGCAAGACTGGCTGAACTGTATTGAAGTTTCATGACAGTGAGTCATTAACACTGGCGGCCCTTCAAGATCCGTGATCCAAAGCATGTACCTTTAATTATATTTTTGTTTTAAGTTCCATTCATGAGAAATGGGCTCTAGCTTTCATGTAAGTAACAGAAATGTTTGGTCTCAGAAATGAACTTCAGGAACAGTCCCATTTTACATGTGGTTGATTTCAAACAGGCCAACGTTGTTGATGTGTCAGAATAAAACCAGACTCGTTAACACCTGGACCATTTAATCACGGGCCTCAGGGAGAGAAAACTATTATTCATTATACTGTGAGGGCCATACATACTATATATGCACATTTAGATGAATATGGAGACATGCTTTATTTACAAAGCACATACAAACCTGCAAAACAGAGAGTGAGAGAGCTGTTCTAAATGTTCTAAGACAATTTTTATGTTTGATACATGCATCAAACATTGTATGCCAGGGTGAGATGTAATCTAAATAACTTCTAGTTTGAAACAGGACCAACATAAAATTTAAAGTATGTTTGCTGTGTAAATTGAGCACCCCTGAGCTGTAAGTGAAGAATTAACAATAACTGACCAAAGTGATAATGATCAATAAGGCCTTAGCAAACTTCCTGACATTCAGACCAGGATCTTATCAAACCAGTCCATGCCAATGGTTTTGTTTGGCAAACGCTGGTTCATATAAACCTGTACCTTGTGATAACAACCGCTGAGCGTCACTTCCTCGTACAAAATCTAATTGTGTTGTGATTTAGGAGGACTGCACCGTGTCTGGCCACTTCTGCGTGACAGTGCCTCCTTAGTGGAGGTAACTGTTACCCAGGGCTGCCTAACACTGTTTATACTCAGTGATCCATTTTGAGACATGCAAGGCCCCCTCGCCCTGTTAGCATACACTGAGGATTTCATGATGTTTACTCTGTATATACAGGAGTCAGCTTAAATAAGATTTCCATGAATGCTGGATCCCCAGAAAACTGATGGACTAGATTAGACTTTGGCCCACAACGTAGAACTCTTGGCATTTTGGACCACTTTGACCCAAGCAAGGTTAATAAAATATAAATATTTACGTTACTATGGGGTTCTTTGCTCCGCTCAGAAGCCAAGCATACAATCTGCGCTGAATATTATGATACAACACAGGTTTGTTGTAGCAATCAATACAGTCTCTGAGAAACAGCCTGGTGTTTTGGTGTGTTTGTGTTTGTTTATATGCAGCATACATGGTCGGCCGATTTATCGGGCTGATATTTGGCATTTTGAGATAATCGTCATCGGCCGATACCTGCACTCACGAGGCTGATATACCTTCATGACATCCCATTCTAAATCCATAGGCATTAATATGGAGTTGCCCCCCCCTTTGCAGCTATAACAGCTTCTGTTCCTCTGGAAAGGCTTTCTACAGGATTTTAGAGTTTGTCTGTGGGAGCTGTTTCCCATTCATCCAAAAGAGCATTTGTGAGGTCAGACACAGATGTTGGACAAGAGGGCCTGGCTCGCAATCTCTGTTCTAATATATCCCAAAGGTGTTGGATAGGGTTGAGGTCAGGGCTCTGTGCTGGCCTGTCAAGTTCCTCCACACCAAACTTCTCTTTATGGAGCTGGCTTTGTGCATGGGGGAATTGTCACATTGAAAGAGGAAAAGGCCAAAAACAAAACTGTTGGAAGAACTAATGTCTAGAATTGCATGCTGTAGCATTATGATTTCCCTTAATAAAGACCACACCATTTCATTAATGAATAAAAATTCCATCTAAAACAACACGGTACTGGCTAAGACAACCATGTATATTAGATTGTACTCTGCATGGAATAATGAAATAATACATGACTTTCTTTGTTTTGATATAGATACTATATCAGTATCGGCCATTGAAAAATCCATCGGTTGACCACGACTATAATGCTAACTTTTGATAATATTAAATACAATAATATTTAATAATATGTTATATATTTAGAATTTTTATAATATTTTACAATATATTATAACTTGATTTACTTGTCTTACAAATTTTGAAAAATAGAAGACATTTGTGAGCTGGGACTTTTTAATGCTGGCCAAGCACTCTAAGCACTAAGCAAATAAATTAGTTAATAACTTCTCCTTATTGATCAGATTTGTGTTTAATATAATAACAATAATAATAATAATAATAATAATCTTTATTTGTAGAGCACTTTTCAAAAACAAGTTACAAAGTGCTTTAACAAGTGTAAAGTGTAAAAATTATGTGTATGTACATGTAGCCTACTCTGTATATAGGCCTAAATATCCAGCCGAAAGGCCTCTCTATTATTGTGATCTTCATATTGTGAACTAGTTCTTGTTTGTCTGTATGTATAAATATATAAATGTAGATCTGTATTTGATGCTCTGTTTATGCTTGTATGCTGTTCCTCAAATGTAAGTCGCTTTGGATAAAAGCGTCTGCCAAATGAGTAAATGTAATGTAAATGTAAAAGAAAATGTATTAGTATTGTACGATTTTGTTCAGTTTTCACACACATTTTAAGGATTTCTTTATTCGGCCTATTTTCGTAGAGGTTTGCAAACCAAGCACAGCCTCTCAATCATGTGTCCCGCGTCCACATGACTTTATACCGCCTCGCCGACCACCAAGCTCCCCGAGGCTTCTCCCTCCCAGCCCATTGAAGAAAACAGCCACTCACAAACACTCATACAGGGACGATCCCTAACTGTAGTCAGATCAGCGCTGTAAGCGGACGCTTCCTGCATAGCCCCGCCTATGTCACATGACTCCTAAGCGGCGTCGCGAGGAAGGAAGCATTTGGGTGGTGGTTGAGACAGCAGCAGCGATGAAAACGCCCACAAGCTGCAAGAATCACTGAAGAGAGTTAAAGTTTGGCGACAGCAGAGACTCTGAAGATGTTGGGATCAACCGGCTCAGAAAACACACAGTGAGTTGTTGTGGCGTGAACTGTAACTGGGTGTCTGTCAGTGTGCAATGAAGAAGTTTGGAATGGGGAAATAACTTACGGCTGTAGGCAAAACACGGAATGTAATTCACGGATCGGAACGGCCCCCCAGGTGAAACAAAAAGATTCAGTTGTTGAGCTTTGGCATCAGCTGTGACCCACATACCGGCTCATATGGTTACATATCACTGTACCTGTGTGGAGCTTTCAGTGTGACTGCGCTGTTGATACAGGAAACGGCTCAGATGAACAGCACTGGGTTAATTTCAAGAGAATTTCACCACATGCTGGGTCACAGCACATTAACATGGCCAAATTGCATTCAAGGGGCCAGTAGGCTTTGTGCACGGCTTTGATGATGGTTAGCAATGTTAAGGAAGTGCTGCAATTACTTAGTTCCCCCTTTCCCCCTTGCTTTCAGTTTGTCCAGGGGCTAATGTGTTCATAACTAGGCCCGTGTACAAATGATATTCCAGTGACTCACTGTCAATGAACTTATGGCTAAATTTAAACACATGAAAATGATGTCAGTATAGACTGGGATTATTTTGACAGCTATCCATGGGCAGCCATCTTTGTTCAAAGAAAAATCTGTGGCAGAATATCCAATGCAAAAATGGCTGTGAAATATACTGATGATCAGATTGATGTTCATTCCTTTGGACTGCATGCTGTGGTAAATTATAATTTTTAGTTTGTCTCGTGTATATATACACACACACACACACACACACACTCTATTTCAACATTTCATCAGATAAAGCTGTAGTTCCTTTCTTCCCTCACGATCAAGATTTTAACTTCTTCTTTTGCAGACATTTATGCTTTACAATCCCCTCCCCAGACTCTGTTTCTTGTCTTTTGCCTCAGTACTTTGAACCTTTTTCTGTCTAGCATGATGCATGGGGAGTGGTTGGTGTAAATAGAACACCGGAGTGAAGCAGGGCAGGAGTGTGTCTGTGGTCCAGATGAAGTGCTTGCTGATCGCCAGTGAGAGCGCAGAGGTCCTCTTCCACTGGACTGACCCAGACTTTCAGCAGAGTATCCAGGAGCAGTATGGGGCTTCTCAAGAAGAGGGCCAGGGGGTAAGGAGGATGAAATTTGATAGCATTCCTGTTGTTGTTAGAATAACTTAATTTAATCTTTATTTTATTTCTTTGTTTTAATGTTTAGCTTCCAGCCTTCGAGGACAGCATCAGCACCCTGTTTGCCCCCATCATTATCTCTTGCAGCACCATGGTGTACAGGCTGGGTGACAGCTACACCTCCTTCACCACAGAGAACAACCATATCTATGTTCTACACCAGGTAGCGCCTGCCTTCCAAAGTAAAAGCCGCACAAATCCCCCAGATTAACTCTCTTCATGACTTCTTAAAAATAAAAAAAGCATGTGATTTAGTTCTTATGCCTTGTTCTGAAATGCCTTCATGTATGAAGCGGATTCCTGCATTCTTGAACTTCGCCTTGCCAACAGTAACAGCGCTGTGACCTAAATGCGTTATGTTTGTCATGTGAGTCTTGTTAAGGAATCAAACCAGGCTTTGTACTCCTGTACCGCATGACACAATGATCAAGTCCAAACACTTGTTTCAAGTTCATTCAGTGTCAGTGCCTTTTTAGGTCTTTCTCGTGCAAATATACATTCCTCAGAGAAGAGTTTAATACAACCATCTTCACTTGAATTTGCATTTTATTCACGTGCCTCTTGTGTCCTCCTCAGTTCGATGAGTGTCTCTACATCGCTGTGAATGGAGATGGTGAGGAGGAAGAGGATGACCTGAGGAGGAAGATCTATGTGATGAAGAAGATGATTGAGGTCCTGTTTGGCATGGTCACCCTCAGCAGTGCCCTCCTCAGAAAAGAGTAAGACATTGTTTTTGTGATCCTTCTTGATGGGACGGACGGTTTTAACGCTTTGTGTGGCTCATAACTGTGCTGTTTGTCGCCAGGCTGCGACCTCAGGACACAGAGCAAAGAGCGAGGCTGTGGAAGCATCTGCAGAGCCTGCTGGAGACCTACAGCCACCTCCGAGAGAACGACCAGAGCTTCTTAGTGGAGGTGCAATGCGTTGCTTTGTCTTTGCAACCTGTTTGTGCAGACTTTTGATGCCTTGATACAGATTCAAGCTAATATCTTTGCCCCCTCAGTGTCATGAAAATGCACATTATTATTTATTATTTCATGATGTGTCTGTGTCTTTATTGAATAATGATTCATATTTATAGTGTTGTCTCTTTTTTTTCTTCTTCATGCTGAACAATACACTGTACTTGTGTCTTTGTTTCATTCAACTAACTCTGACTGAAATGCCCCTCCCTCACAGTTTTGGGGCATTGGTAAACAAACATTTAATTTTTTTATTTGTGTATTTATTTCAATGAGTTGCATCACTTGTTAGTGAAGCCCTAGCTATCCTTGGTGCATTGCTACATCTGATTTAGGATGTAACATTTCTAACCACTAGATGGCAGCAATGGCTTGAAAGACTACGTTTTCTTACTGTTGCTTTAATTTGATGTTCATATTATTTTTTTTGTTCTCCCTATACTTTTTGTTGGTTGATTTCCTTTTTAAGGCTTTAATATCAAAATGGCTATGTTCAGTTGAAGAACTTTTTAGGTTATATTAATAAATCATAGCCCTAAAAACAAACAACAACTTGCCTTGCCAGCTATCCCTCTGTCTGCTTTCTTAGTAGAGAAACTGGCCAATTCAAAGTTAACAATTACATTATTGAGGGCTAACTCTATCAGTGCTCATGTTAGGATGGAAATGATGGTTAAAATGCTCTCCTGTTGTCTCCTCCCTTTTGTCAGGCAGTGGAGAGGCTGATCCACCCCACACTGTGTGAGCAGTGCATCGAGTTCCTGGAGCGCCATTTAGTTCAGCAGCTCAACAGCAGCGTAGAGAGAGCAGGAGAGGAGGTGCTGCATGCCTTCATCCTGGTTCACACCAAACTGCTAGCCTTCTACTCCAGGTACAGCTAAACCGGTCATATTTATTCAGTAACTTGTACTGTATCTTATTTATAATATCTATGCCAGTGAAGAGGCTTTATTTGAATTAATTGAAATTTTTTTTCATGAAGTATGACGTCTCTTTGCTCTTCCGCTTGTTGTAGCCGCAATGCGAGCACACTCGCCACCTCAGACCTCCTGGCCCTCATCATCATGGCACAGAACATGTATCCTAGCAACGTAGACCTGGACGACCCAGGTCCTCAGGTAGGAAATGCTGACAGAAACTCACACAGCACAATGTTGGCCTTGTTTTTTGATTGATTATTGTCTGTTTCTGTGAAGGATGTTGAGAATACATCCGGTTCTGGTCCTGAAAGTTTTTATACCCCGGAGCCCTCCCCTACAGACAGAGAATCAAGCAGTTCAGGTGGGTTCATATTAATCAGTTTTTTCTATTTATATGTCCTTCTTATTGAAACTAGTGTAGATTGATAGTCTTTATTGTCAAAGAGGGAGCTTGGTTTTCACATCCAGTACATATTCCACACAGAAACATACTGATATAAGCAGTATATAAGATGCACTCCCCTCCAAAAGTATTGGAACTGGCAAATTACTTTGTTTTTGTTGTTCACTGAAGACATTTGGGTTTAAGATCAAAAGATGAGTATGAGACAAGAGTTCAGAATTTCAGCTTTTATTTCCTGGTATTCACATCTAGATGTGTTAAACAATTTAGGACATATCACCGTTTGTATTAATTCAATTCAAATTAGCTTTATAGGCATGAATGTATAACAACAATATTGCCAAAGCATCATACAAACTACATAGATCAACCCCATACATTTCATTAAACAAGTAATTAAAGCATAAAGTAATTAAAGCATACGTGTGTTTGTGTGTATAAAATAAATAAATAAATAAATAAAACAGTAAGCGTGTGTGTGTATATTAATAGACAAAAAATAAAAAAATTGATTAAAAAAATAATAAATAAATAAAAATAAATAAATCAGTATCAAATGTAAAAACAAAACAATTATTAAAATATCAAACAATCAAAATAATAATAATTTTAAAATTTGTACAATTATTTATCAGTCTGAGTTTCCACTGGTTGTCCTCACTTCATGGCATGAGGAGTCATATTTTGCATCACTTACTTCACATTTGGGGATTTCTCCCAGTAAATGGAGTTTCTGTGTGTCTGATATGAATTCGAATTTGGGGTATATTTGGGAAATAAAGTGTTTTTGTCTTAGTGTTTTATATTTAGGGCATGAGGTTAGAAAGTGCAGCTCTGTCTCTACCTGTCCTGTGTCACACTGGGAGCAGTCTCTCCTCTTGTGGTAGCCAGCTCTGTCTGTGGCGACCCTTTTCTATGGCCAGGCTGTGTTCACTCAGTCTGTATGTTGTCAACATTTTTCTTAGTTTGGGACATTTTATTGTACTCAGGTAATTTGCCAGTGTGAATTCTCTTTTTAGGGTCAGATAACACTGGAATTTACTTTGTGTTTTGGTCGTTTCTTTCCAGTATTCAATATATTTTTCTTTTTGCTTGTTGATCATTTGGTTTCGTCTGCTTGAGTTGGTATTACTGTTCTGTTGGGGACTTGTTACTGCAGAGAGCCTCAGAACCAGCTGGCTGAGGGGATTCTTCTCTGGTTTCAGCTACTGGTATGTTAGGGCTTTGTGACGGTATGTCTGGGTGTTAACTGATTTCAAGTGATGCACAGATTATTTGGTGTTTTTCTCTGCACCTGTAGGATGCTCTTACAGAACTCAGTATGAAGATTCTATGATTGTTTTGTCCCATTAGACCACAGCATTCTCAGGTGAGCAAAAATAATGGAACAAATAATCTTAAAGTAAATAACACTTAATATTTGGTGGCATAACCCTTGCTTGCAATAACTGCCTCAAGCCTGCGACCCATCGATATCACCAAACTGTTGCATTCTTTATTTGTGATGCTATTCCAGGCTTTTACCACAGCTTCTTTCAGTTCTTGTTTGTTTCGGGGGGTTTCTCCCTTCGGTCTCCTCTTAAGGAGGTGAAATGCATGCTCTATTGGTTAAGGTCAGGTGATTGACTAGGCAAGTCTAAAACCTTCTGTTTCCCCCTCATGAAGTCCTTTGTTTTGTTGGCAGTGTGCTTTGGGTCATTGTCCTGCTGCAGGATGAACTTCGTCCTGATCAGTTTCAATGCATTTCTCCGTACATTGGCAGACAAAATGTTTCTGTACTACCATCATCAGTTACATCATCAATAAATATTAATGAGCCTGTCCCAGAAGCAGCCATGCAGGCCCAAGCCATGACGTTACCTCCACCATGCTTCACAGATGAGCTTGTGTGCTTCAGATCATAAGCAGTTCCTTTCTTGCTCCACACTTTGGCCTTTCCATCACTTTGGTAGAGATTAATCTTGGTCTCATCAGTCCATAAGATTGTGTTGCAGAACTTTTGTGGCTCATCTCTGTACTTCTTTGCAAATTTCAATCTGGCCTTGCGATTCTTCCTGCTGATGAGTGGTTTGCATCTTGTGGTGTGGCCTCTATATTTCTGCTCTCTGAGTCTTCTTCCAACAGTGGATTGTGATATCTTCACCCCTGCACTGTGGAGGTCGTTGGTGATGTCACTTACTGATGTTTTGGGGGTTTTCTTCACAGCTCTCATGATATTTCTGTCATCAACTACTGTTTATTTCCTTGGCCGACCTGTTGGACGTCTGTTGCTCAGTACACCAGTAGTTTCTTTCTTTTTCAGGGCATTCCAAATTGTTGTGCTTGCTTTGCCCAGTGTTTGTCCAAAGGCTCTGGTTGATTTTCCTTCTTTTCTCAGCTTGACAACTGCTTGCTTTTCTCCCATAGACAGCTCTCTGGTCTTCATGTTGGTTTATCGTCTTTAACAGGAAATGCAGTCTTTATAGGTTTGAACCAAGGATGAAAACTTAGACTAGTCATGCAGAGCTATTTAATATTTGGACAATCAACCTAAAAGGCAACACCTGGGCAACAAGAAACAACAGTCACATGTTCCAATAGTTTTGCTCACTTTCAAACAAAGGGTGGTATGTCCTTTGTTGTTTAACACATCTAGATGTGAATACCCAACACCAGCAAATAAAAGCTGAAATTCTGAACTCTCGTCTCATCTTTTGATCTTAAACCCAAATGTCTTCAGTGAACAACAAAAACAAAGGAATTTGCCTTACCGCTCCAATACTTTTGGAGGGGACTGTACATATTTACATATACTGTACATTCATGCCCCTGCCTATATCCCAGCCCATACTCATAGTCTAGTCTGTAAATATTTGACTGTGTTAACGAGGCAGTTTGTTCACGGCAGAAGGGACAAAAATGTCCTGTATGTCAATTATAATCAGTTTCTAAACAACAACAGTATTTTGTATTTTTTGTGTGTCCGCAGACAAGGCGGTGAGAGGAAGTACTCCTGTATTTGAGTTTTTGGACCCCGACATCCAGGTGTGTGTGTATATGTATATGTATATATATATATATATATATATATATATATATATATATATATAATATATATATATATATATATATATATATATATATATATATATATTATATATATATATATATATATATATATATATATATATATATATATATTATATATATATATATATATATATATATATATATATATAATATAATTAGTGTCTATTCCTCATAGTTCATTCTGATTTGTAATATTCTAAGCTGAATAAATCGATTGTTTGGGTTGAAATGAGACAGCTGGATAAAATTATAATGTCTTCAGATGGCAGAGGACAGCTTGCAGACTCTGGAAGTTCCTCCACCTGACCCTTCAACCCCTCGCAGGGTCTTTTTAGAGGTCTCGCTCAAAGAGGGGCTGTATCCCATGATGCCTCACTCCATGTACTGTCTGCCACTGTGGCCTGGCATGACACTAGTGCTGCTAACTAAGGTTTGAGGATACCAGCACGCATCCATACGTGCACTTCCTCATTTTGCTTACAAACACACACCGTTTCTCTCTGTCTTAACACATTGTGGCCAGTAGGGAGCACACTTGTGACACATTTATCTGGACTTCTTTAACGAACTACAATTTTATACAGAGTTCACAATACCTAAACACATCTTTGCTCCCATGTTGAACCACTTACTCATATATATTTATCTCTGTTAGATTCCCACCAGTGCAGTGGCCATGTCAGTGTATAGGTTTTTGGAGGCCTTTGCCAAGCTGGAGAAACGTTTATGTGAAGGCCAAGAAGGTTCTGCTGCTATTAGAGGCCAGCCAACTATACATGACGTTCGCAGCAAATTGGATAAGTTCATTAAAGCCCTGGGGCCTAGTGAGATACAGGTATGTGTATTTTGAATACCAACATCTTGTGTTCAGGACACAATCATTTTAAATGGAAAACTGAACAGCTAAGACTTATTTTCTTTTTCCTGTGATGGCCTGTAATAAAACTGAACTGTCAACCTTCCATCCATCCTTGCTTTTTATTACAGCATCATTCACAAACCATGAAACCGTTTATAGTTCCTTACATATTATAAAAATAAGTGTGAATAATTGTAGGTAACAATGTAATATTTTCACTTTTTTATTTTACGCTTAAATGCAATCCGCTTTTGTTCCTTTTGTCTTCTATCCAGTCTGCACAGCTACAAAATGTCTGGACAGAATTCAAGAGCCGAGCCTTCGCCAGAGGGGGACCTGGGTTCAGCAAAGAGTAAGTCCACTGCAGCCCTCTGCTGGCCGAAATGCATCAGAGCAAAGCCGTTGGGATCATCCTTTGAGTGATCGCACTCTGTTTTTGTTTTAGGCTCATCCCATGGTGTAAGAATTTGAAGACCCAGCTGTGTGGAATATACCGACAGTGTTTTCTTATTGACTGTGGACCAGCCGACATTCCTCGACATCTCTCCCCCGGTCTGCAGGAACGAGCCCAGACCATGGTGCAGTGCGTATCAGTCAGCTGAACATCATTTTGCTATTTTTCAACTAAGACATCTTTCGTTGTTAATGTCTGTATCTCCTTTCTTTCTTCATCTTTTTCTATATGTTTATCCCTTTCCTGTCACCCTGTCTCTCCCAGAGAGAAACTGATGGACTGGAAGGACTTCCTGTTGGTGAAAAGCAAGAGGAATAATACCATGGTGTCATATCCTATCAGCAAAATAATCCTACTCACTGTGATGCCATGTTGTGTGTGATCTCTGTGCGTTTTGCCCAGAAGTAAATTTCAAATATTTCTGGGATGCATGCAAATTTTTTGGTCTTAACAACATTCATACACGTAGAAAACATTTTGGAATATAACAAACTGTTCCTGAAACCTGAGTGCATTGACCTTGACCCAATAAATCTCACATACCTGGAGGATTTCCCGGGCCTCATCCATTTTATCTGCGTGGACCGATCCACCGGCCAAATGATTGCGCCGTCGCTCAACATCACAGAACGCACCACGTCTGAGCTGGGGAAAGGACCAGTGGCTCATTTCATCAAAAGCAAGGTCAAGCATATTTGAAGTGCCGTGTTCATCTTATCAAGTCATTTAAGTTTCATTTAGTTGCTTTCTTTTTTTGTTCTTTTGCCTTTGTGTTAATCTAATCTAACTGTCTCTAGCTTCATATTTACTCTACAGATAACAGAGAGATCTCTGCAACAAAACTTATACACATTTTTCCAAAAATGTTTTACTATTTGGTCAAAATGTGCACTACAGCAACAGTTTGCTCATAGTTGTCTTGTCAAATTCCTGTTTATTAATCCGTACTGAAGGTGTGGAGCCTGGTCAGCACAACACGGCGCTATCTCCAGAAAGGTTACTCCACTGTCACATTGCGCGATGGAGACTTCTACTTCTGCTATTTCCTCTGGTTTGAAAATGAAACGGTAAGTTACTGGCATGTCAGTTAGGATCCAGCATTAAAAAGAAAACCATTTGGCATCCTGGAATATTGTGAAAGTATAATATAATGCATATATCTCAATCAATCAGGGCTATAAGTTAGAGGCAGGGGACATACCCATCCTACCTGATGACTCTGCCCCCATTGGGATGCTTGCATGGGACTACTACAGGTAAACAACTGTGCATGACGGATATAGATGTGATTAATCCAGAAGAGAGTGCTGCTGACTATAGAAAGTATTGTGTCCAGCAGGAAGCTGCTGCGGTACTACAGTAAGAACCACCAGGGTGAGGTAGTGAAGTGCTACGAGCTGCTGACTGTTCACCTGGGGGTCATCCCCACCGAGACCATCCTCCAGCACTGCAGGCAGCTGGCAAGCAAACTGTGGGAGCCTTCACGCAATCCTCTGCTGTAGATGCACCCACACACTTGAACTGAGTCACAGTCGCCAACATACACGTACATTTGTTGTATTGCCAAGAACCGGCGGGGCGGGGGGGGCAAAACAGCATTTTCTTGCTTTCTATGGATATATATCTTGTCCAATGCCTGTGTTTCATGCTCCCATAATGTTAAGTGTGTATAAGAATATGAATACTAAATTGACCTTAAGTTATTTATTAGAAGCACTTAGCTTTTATTGACACTCACTCCTAAATTTTTGCAGATTGTAATTTATATTTTTGAATACTCATTTATGAACGGTTTCCTATTTATTAGTAAGAATATATATATGGTTATATGGTATGTTTTTTCCTTTTAGAAATTTGCTGTTGATCGATTTTTATAAACACATACTGTTTTGCTATTACTGATATAGATTTTTTTTTTAGAAGCAATAAATATCAGAAGTCTTCATTAACTTGTTTATTCAGTCATTGTAAACAGTATTGAAATAGCACTGTTTGAACCACAGACCATTCAATTAATTTTACAAAACCACATTCCTACATGCGATGGCCCGTTTATTCATCCATGTGATGATTACTATCCTTGTATATTAGCTGGTGATGTAATAAGTTAATTGAATTCACATGAGATATGCTTCAGTCTCTACAATCATGACTGTTATGTCTAACCTTTTAGAGTTTTATTTGCTCACTCATCAGTCAGCCCTGGAGACTGTGGGCATTTGAAAGGTCAGTCCACGCTGTGTAGGATTCCTCCAGCAGGGCGAAGTTATGGAGGACCCCGTCCGGGCTCATGGTGAGAGGGAGGAGTGTGTGTAGAGTATATTATCAGTCCCTGCACTGGTGATTCACAGAGCTCCTGTGAGGTCAGTCACAGCTCCTGCAGCAACCAGGTCCCTCAAGAAGAGTTTCTCAGCGCTGATGTCATGCACCACCTGGACGATGAAAATAAAGCCATGAATAAATCACTGGAGTCAAAACATGACGCAAATTACATTAAAATGTGTACCAGTGTACGGTAATTGATCTAAACTTACTTGAGATTTCATAGCTCCCATGCGTATGGTCTCATAGTAGTGAAGCCTGGTCTCTAGGTGCTGCATATCATACCCAAACCCTGCTAGGCTCACCTGGTCACACAGCTGGAAAGCCATCACAACTGCACTTGCACCTAGTGTTGGCACCATCTACACGAGGAGAGAAAATGCTCTTGGATCGATTTCTTCAACCAGTATGAGCACCGACTACTCAGCAGTATTTTGTTCAATAAGAAATATTCAACAGAGGGAGCTTGTTAGCCTCTTTAACTGAAAGTTGTGTGTGCTCATCTTTCACTGCCTGTTGTGTGCGCGCTCATCTTTCACTGCCTTAATTTCCAGTCAGTACATCCAAAGTCAGTACATGTTTCAGCCTGGCATGTATTATTCAGGACACGTTAGGCTATACCCAGACGTGCCATTGTTCTTGGATTCCTTTTTTTCTGTTTGAATGTAGTCTTGTATGAAAAAATACAACAAAGCACAAGCAGAATGTGTCACCACTTGTCAAAAGGGAATTCAATGTAGGACATGCATGTTACGTTACAACTCACGTTCCCCTGTTTCAGAGCATATTTCTGTAGAACTTGTCCCGTCTTGTGAATAATCTCCGGGTGGAGGATCCTGAAGTTCTCTGGTTTCAGGGGAATGTCATCCACCACCTCCCTCCAGAACCACAGTTTGGACCAGAAGCTCTATTTAAAACAACATAGGAGTGGTAAAGCCTGTGAGGCAGAGAGTGATGATGTGATTGCGGCATGGCTGCATGACTTGCTATGACACTCATGGCTTATGTAATACACCATTTCTGCATACAGTTCCTGTGAGGTAGGCTTACCAGAGGCTTTTTGGTGATTACAGAAGTGAGCCAGTCTAGATCCAGGCTCTTAAAGACCACCAGAGCAACCATGGTGGTATTTTTGTAGTCGTTTGCAGAGTGAGGTGCTCCCTCTGGGTAAATCAGGCGGATGGTGGTACGTAAACCAGCGTCTCTCTCAAAGCCAGACACTGGAGCATTATTCAGCCTGGTAGCAGAGATGAAAATGCATCTATGAAATTGATTGTCTTTTGTTGATACTCTGTATTTTCTTTATGCATATTGCATTTAACCTGTCTGTCTGACACTGGCACACATACCTGATGATGATGTCGTACTGATCTATATGGGATCCAAGATGGCTCCCGTGAAGAACCCCTCCATTGCCTACCACCACGCATCGCCTGCAGCTGCCTTCTCCCCTCAGTGATGGAGGCAGGCCAGGCTGAGGCAGAGAGGCAAGAGCCAGGGCCAGATGTTCTTCACTGCCCAGGAGCCCCAGAGGAGGGGACAGATCCCAGGGCACAGGCCTGTCCTGCTGCACATACACAGGGATGTCAAGGAGGCTTGCAGAACACGACAGGGGCTTGAGGTGGTTCAGACACCAGCGAGGCTGACATGGACCGGACAGCAGGGAGGCTGACTGATTTAGTAAGACCTTAAGAGAGGGGCAAACATAGAGAGATGTTTGGTAAGAGTCAAGAAATTATGCAAAATGATTATACGATGTTCATCCATACCAGATCTTTGGGATGCGGGTTGTCTTCACTGAGAGTTTCCACGTTATCCAAGGGGAAATATGCAGGAATCAGAATAGCCAAGTAGCATATGATTAGCAGCGTCAGACTGAAGGCAAGGTTCTCACTCCTGTGCAGTAGAGAAAACTAACAACAGAACTTGCTTTATTAAGTAACAGCTCCGCAACATATACACAGTACCTGCAGAGATGTACCTGCTGAGGAAAAATTCCCTGGAGTCAGTCTTTGTGACTCCTCGCTGTCTGTGAAAGACAGGCGTTGGTGATGCCGCCTCCGCAGCCTCGGGCAGCAGTGGAGAGCCATCGTCTGGGTCCTCTACACTCAAGTGATTCAGCGTCACCATGGCAGCTGTTCTTCCACCTAAAACACATACAAACATGTTATTGAACTCACAGTAGTGATAATAAATCCTTTTGAACTAATATTGCGTCTCCATACAGTAAAGACAAACTTTCTTAATAACATAGTATTTAAAGAGTCAGAATTCCATGTTTTCTATGTCACTCAAAATGACTGATGATACACTAAATCATCAAGACGAAAAAAAATTGAGTAGTATGAATGATAGAACTTACAGCCAGCCTGGTACAGCCAGCCTGGTAGAGATGTAAGCTGCCAGTTAACAGTCTGTGCAGCTAAAATGGCTGCTTCTGCTTGCTACTCCAGTGAACCCTTCCCTCAATAACACTGGTTAACCATTAACATGTCACTCAGTCACACTCGGCAGGAATACATGCAAATTAGTGTGTGTGTGTGTGTGTGTGTGTGTGTGTGACAAATATATTAATGGTTTACTTTAATGGAACAAGTACCAAAGCCGAGGCTGACAGGGATTGATTGTTGATGTGCTAGAAAACAGATATTTACAAGGTCTCACTTGACACTAAGTAATGAAACCTTTATGAATAACATAATCCCCCAAAACAGTGTGTTTATGAGGGTTATGCTCATGTGAAAGAGAAGTACGCACTGGTGCAGCAACAAGAGTGAGTATGTGGAATGAATGTAACCTCAGCTCATGAACTGGGCATGACATGCCTGAAGGGCTGGATGTACTTAATATAAAAGCGTGTGTGTGTGAGTGTGTGTATCTGACCTTCCGGGACACATTTCAGACTGAAGATCAGAAGCTGATTGGGAGCGTCTTGTCCAATTGGGGACAAAAGTGGTGTCCTCAACTGATGAATGGGCCAGTGGTTAATGTTAAGCCAGTAGTTGTCAGGGTTAGGGGTAGTTTAGGGTTAGGGAAGTAGTGTTATGGTTAGGGTAAATCTCCAGGAAATTAATATAAGTTTGTGTAATGTCCAAAAAGTAAGTAAACATGCATATGCGTGTGTGTGTGTGTGTGTGTGTGTGTGAGCATGACAGAGAGGAAAAGAGGTAGAGGGAATAAGAGCGGTAGAATGTTGGGCAGGCAAGTACACACAAATATACATGCCTACATACACCAAAGTGCACGCACACCTGTTTGTTGGGGTAACACAATGTCCCACCATGAACCTGGTATTCCAGCCAGGAAGCCACTAGACTTGCAGCACTTCTGTATAAAGTACCTCGCAGTCAGTCGAGTCATCTGCCACTTTTCTTTGCTTTTACTCCAGATTGTTTAAACACTTAAGCTGCTAAAAATTTCTTGACTGACTGTTGCTTTTCTTTTTGTAGCTTTGTACTCTTTATGCAAACGGCGATGGAAGAGGTTCTTCAGTGGGCAGCCAATGTGATGGATAAAACAGGAATAGAAAAGAAAGCTCAGGTAGGTGAGAGAAATAGACTACTTATGTTTCCAAAGAGACCAAAGAGAGTATGTGATGATTTTATGTCTTTTCTTACAGCAAGTATGGCTCCTAGAATGATTATCATTAGACACAATAGGGTTTGTTTGTTCCCAGCACAGCAGATTATATATTATAGTTTATGTTACTGTTACCACAATAAGACATATTTGAAGAGAATAGGTGAATAGGTTTCTTATGTGAAGACATGTGCTTTAATGAAGTGAACCCCGAACTTGAAGAGAAAATGTCTGTCAGCCTACTTCAACATCTATTTGCATCCATATCAATAAACAGTTTTAGTTGGATATGTTTATTTTTTAACATTAATATGTTGGCCCTGAGTGAAGTTAAACTGAACTCACCAGTTTCAGCAAATGCTGTTTTAGTCAAAGGGTTTCTTACTTGAAGTTTAATTAACAGTGGAGAAGAAGAAGAGAAGATTTACCGTTCAAACACATAAACATGATATTTATGTTTGCTCCAACAGTGAACTCTGTGAATCAAGACATTTGGGGAAAGTTTTATTTCCTGATACCATACAAATTGACTTTTACTCTTTATTTCTGAAAACTACACAGTCTTGGTGCATTCATGTGCTCCTCCGATAATCCGATAATCTAATTTACCGAGTTGTGAAGTCATTCTTTTGACTTCGGTGTGTTCATCTGCTTTTAAATTGGAATTAGGACAGTACTACAAAGATGTGTTGGATTGTTATTGCCATTGTCATTTCAAGATGCTGAAACAGTTTGAGGCTTTCTATTACAAAGTGTCCCAGAGTTGTTACTGCATCAGTACATTACTTGCAACCACTAAAATATTGCTTGTGTTGCAAATACTGCTAATAAAAAACTTTTTCTTATTATTATTAATCTGGGTCATTCTACATGGACAGCAAGCTTACCATTATAACCTATACCATATTACAAATGACATGTTAGCAAAAAAAGTATATGCAATACGTAATTTCACACCAAACATTTCTAACCATCATGTTGTCCCCCATTTTTCTACGTGTATGATGTCAACAACTTAGCAACTCGTGCATGAAAGTTTTCTCAGACTTTCCAAGTTGTTGTTCTGACTTCAGAGGGTGTTCACATGTATTCCCAGTCCGGAAATCATTTTTTCTGATTATTCCGACACACTGTTTTGCCATGTATTTAGATTCCTTTTTATTTCTTTTATGTGCACCGAATCAAAACCAACTCAATAACTTCATGTACAATCATTCACTCTGTGGTTCTTTTAAATGGACTATGTGTTTTTATCTATTAAATACTTTATACACAAAAAACAAAACAACCCACCAACCAATAAAATAAATAATAATGTTATTTTAGTCTACAAATAAAACAAGACAGATAAAGGGCCGCATACACAACTAACAGCATGTGAGAAGGAGTTTATTGGAAATGTTGCTTTTGTAATGGCCAAGCCTAGCTTGCACTATGCTGTGAATTTATTTTGACATTAACACTACCATTCCCAGCTCTCAACACCCCTTAACCTACTTGGCACATCTACTTTACATGCCAATATGGTACCTCTCCCGTCTAGGTTTTCTAACAGTGTTTTCAACACTAGCACTATTTCTGTCATTTTCCAGGCAGAGGAGAGAGGGAAGATGATCTCCTCAGACCTATACTGTGAGGTTTTGGATCTGAGCGGAGGAGAGAATATCACAGAGCTGTGCAAAACACAAAAGAAGATCAAGAAGACGTACTCACCCAGAGTGTCTGTGGAAACCCCTGTGGTGAGCCACACTTTTCAGAAAGCTTAACTTCATGTGCACAACTTAGATGTAAAATTGAAACTCTGTCTCTATCCTGTCCCTCTGTGTTTCTGTGTGTATGTGTGTGTCTCTGTGTGGACAGATAGGGCCGGAGGATACTGCAGAATTCATGAATGCAGCCAGTCAAGGCAAACTGAATGTGATAGACAAGTATCTGGCTGATGGTGGGGACCCTAATGTCCATGATGAGGTATACTCTCCCTCTGTGGCAGTAAAACAGACACATTCACAACAAACTACTTACAATAATTTAAAACTTCCCAGCTGAAGCGGACAGCGCTACATCGTGCCTCTCTGGAAAGACAGACTGCAGTTGTCCAAATGCTTTTAGAAAAGGGAGCCGATATCAACTTTAAAGATCAAGTAAGACGGGCAGGAACATTGCTTGTTTGTAAAGATGATGATGCGATTGGGTGAGATTATCTCCGCACACTAAAGCTCCAACCTCTAGTAGCCTGAAGTCAGCACTATTAATAGGATAGGGCCCTCCTACTGTGTTTCAGCTGGGCTCCAGGGCCATACACTGGGCCTGCAGAGGAGGAAGCCTGGGAGTTGTCAAAGCCCTGAAGAGCCACAGGGCTGACCTGAACGTTAGAGATAAGGTGAATGCGCTTTTTATTTGTGCCTGAATTTGAACTGGGGTTCCTTCTTGTGTATCTGTGAACATACTGTATGTGTTCAAATGATATGCAGTTGGTCCTTTATGTGTTTATATGTGTATTATATGTGGATTTGCATTCAAATAACCCAGTCACAGTATTTGTCAATGTCTGCATTGCAGTTGTACAGCACTCCTCTGCATGTGGCCACAAGGACAGGCCACACCACCATTGTGGAGTACCTGCTGTCCTGTGGTGCCAAAATCAACTCCAGAGATAGGGTATGCAGCAGCTCAACCACGTGTTCCGCCTCTGTGTTTCGTCATCTCTATTATTCCTTTTATTATTGTTAATAAAATAAAAATGTCTAATCCCAGGAAGGGGACACAGCCCTGCATGATGCAGTGCGTCTCAACAGATACAAGATAGTGAAGCTGCTCATAGTGGCAGGGGCTGACACAAAAATAAAAAATCATGTGAGTTTGTCCATTTGTAGGGCATGTCAGGTCTATCTTGAAGAGGGTTTTAAAGGATTGGTTTGACATTTTGGGAAAACAGCTTATTGAGAGTTAGATTCGATGATCAATACTATTATCATAACTGTACGTTAAATATGAGGCCACAGCCAGCAGCCAGTTAGGTTAGCTTAGCATAAAGACTGGAAACAGGGTAAAACAGCTAAAGCTCTGTAATTAACACCATATATCTTGTTTTTTAATCCACACAAAATCTAAGGTGATAATTTGCTGTTTTATGAGCCGGATTATTTCTTGGCCGTGCACAATAACTTCCTAGTCCCAGCAGAGAAATAGTCTGGCACATAAAATGGTGAATTGACTTTTTAAAACTGATTTTGTTTTAATTAAATAAAAAATATGTGTTCCCTTTCCCTGGATAGCTGCTTCCCCGTGTTTCTAGCCTTCATGCTAAGATAAGCTAACCTGTGGCGCCCCACCCTAATGGTTAAGGCACATACCACATATTTGCAATAAAGAGATAAGCTTTCTTGCTGGCTGTAGCCTCACATAAATGTACAGACATGAGGCTGGTATCAATCTTTTCTCATAATAAGAAAGCAAATAAGCATGCTTCCCAAAATGGAGTACTATTCCTTAATAATATACTGTGGCTCATATCTCAACACTATACATACAATATGACCCCACTCTAACAAGCTGACAGTATGAACTATGTTACAGGAAGGAGTCACAGCAGTGCAGCAGGTAAAACAGTGGCAGTTTGACATCATGGAGATCCTGCAGAGACTGGAGAAGCTGAGGGAATTGGGACTGGTACCGCCTGAAAACACCTCGAGAGAGAGGAGTGACTAGTGCAAAAGATGCACATCTACTCATACAGTATATTCCTTTAACGTTGCTCTCCATCTGTCTCAGGTTCAAAATACATCCAGCAATTCCACTGTAGGTCAGTGTACATCATATTTGAGTATATGCGTTATATGTGCTCACCAACAAAATCTGCCTTTCTGGGGCATGGCTGTTAAACCTCTAAGGTTAGTCTGAACTATGACACTAGAAAAATGTGTGTGACGGATTCAAAATGATCTGCTTATCTCAAAAAAGGAGGCAGAAAACATATGAATAAGGAAACAAAGCTGAATTTCTCACAACCTTTTGCCAAGCTTTGGCTTTTGATATTTGCTTCCAAAGAGCTTTATCATCTCAGGAGCACTCCGATGGATGTTTCGTATCTGATTTGGGATGTCTTTGGAAGTGGAATAATATTAATAGGTAGTGCTGTGCAGAAGCTGCGTTTGAATATACATCAAAAGGTCCTTGTTTTATCAAGGCAACAGACAAGGCCAGAGCACACAGCAGTACTGTGTTTGAGATGTCAGCTGATGATAGCAGAGATGGCTGGTATGCCTCCGCTAAAGTCAGGGATTCAAGGAGAGCTCAGTGGGCATATTTTCCTTCTATCATCAGTGGCTCAAATGTTCCTGAGGGAGGGTGGTCATTTACACTGGGGAAACCAACAGCTTGCTCCCTTGCTTACAATGTAGTTGTTTATGTATAGTTAGTCAGTATGCATGCAGCCATTCATTTTGTGAGCACATTTTGTTCAACATATACTGTGCTACTGCTGTATTTATCATAACGTGAAAGTAAAATGCTGTTTTGAAAAGCAGTTGCAGTTACTGTCTTCTGTTATATACCAATGTGTTCATTGTAGACAACTCATCAGCTACATTATCTGCCGCACACAATATTTCCTGTTCCAAGCAACGGCGGTGTAACTGTCAGGGACCTTAGTGGAGACGCATAACATGTACAATACAAGGTTAAACACACTACATGAAAGTGTTTTATTTTGCCATCCTGACTCTAACAGAGATAAAAAAGCACATTTTCAAAGGAATATCATGTATCAGAAAGAAACTCCCCTCTTAAATCTGTTGGACTCATACATGTTTTACAGCTTTAGTTCTACAAGCAGTGTGCTGTTGTGCTGTGCTGTTGCTGAGGGCTGGAGTGGTGTAGAATGAGAAGGGGGGATGGGGAAACTGGAGGCTTCTGCTTCGTGCAGTGTAGCAGCCAAAAAACCAGAGGAACCTGTTTACCCATCAAACGGTTAAACTTCTTCCTCCAGCTGCAGATGTGCACATTTCAGCCTTTGTGAACACTAGAAATGGCTGCATAATCATCTAAAATGTAGCTACTTTGTCATGTTACTGTGTCCAAGTGCAATGCTCTGATACGAAACGAAAAACATTTCTTTTTCAACACAAGGCTTTATTTTAACACATCTACCACTTACCACCTATGTGATACATACTCAGACCTGTTCCAGGAGAATGAGAGGATACTGCACAGTATTTTTTTCTGTAAGAGCAACATTATATTGTTACTGAAAAAAGGTAACCATGGCAATGATATTTTCCAGGCAGGTGAAAGTCTGGACAGGCACGCTTTTAAAGCACCATTTGTTTCCAGTTGGAAATGGATGTGGGATTCCAGTGAATTCAATTCAATTCAGGCAGGGGTTTGTAGGCAAAAACCTCTCGAGCAGGCGTCATGTCCAACATAGCAGAAAGAAAAAAATACCGTTACATGATCTTAAATACAGGATATTACACACTGTGCGCACACAGTTAAAGTATCATTGTGCGTAGACTGTGGTACTGACACGTGCACTGGTCTAATTTTCTGTGTCTAATGTTATCTTCAATCTTTCTGATTGTACTCTGCAGCACGCCGCTGCACCAAAGAGGTCAGTATGCACCCAAACAGAATGTAACAACAATGAACATCAGTAACAGCAATAATCCAGGCTAAGATCAGGAATATTAACAACAGAATCTCATATCAATTCCCTGTTTAATCTTCGGTCCTTTCATTTTTCTTGCACACTAAAGCCCCAGGTAGATTAATCCTTATTGATTTGTCTTTAATGTTTGGCTGTAAGAAATAACACATGTAACTCCTGTTGACAGTTCCAGGCTTCCTATAATATCACTTGATTGTCTTTGGTTGAAGTTCTGTGTAGGCAACCCTAGACAAGCCACGTCTACAAATGCTTTGTAAGGCCTATTAACTGTTAAAGTACACTAAATGACTATAATCGCTATAATGGTAAACACATTTGGAACACCTCAAAATACTCAACCACACTGTCTTAAATAACACAATTTTCTCTTAATTCATCTGAAAGGTCAGAACAAACACAATCAATGACAATTACTATCTATATACCTCATAAAAAAACACAACATTAAAATTACATACATCTGATTTATAAATTCTGTCATTCAGCTGCCTTTATTAAGATCTATGTCCCAATTTCAATGCATTTAATTATGGTTATTTGTCAACTTTGAGGATGTGTAGTCATCGAAGATGCAAGTTTTTCAGGTTATAGAGGGGAAAACGTGAAAGAATTATCCAGCAGAGTTAATTCTCCTCTCTACTGATTTCCACTGGGAGAGGAGGGGGTGGGGGGGTTACTGAAGAGAAGAGAGCTGCTGGACTTGTGAGTGATGGGAGCAAGAAACTCAGCACCAGCTTAGCAAACGTATCTCTCAGACTGAAGGCAATCTTCAAACAGACCTCAAATTCATTAGGATGACTGACACCTTAGGGCAAATGATGCAGAGGAGAAGGGAAGGAGAGGGCACTGTGCTTCATCTAATTTTTAGATGGACACCCTTGAACCGCACTCTTGCATCAAAATGTCTTTAAGGCAAACGTGAATACTGATCCTCTAAACAGAGAAACGCAAGTGGCAAAATGCATTTCTTGAAAGATAAAGTTGGCAGCAGCGCTATTAATTGAGATGAGATTTTAAAGGTGCCCCCATGGAGTGTTTTCGTAAACAAACAAACGTTATGTTTACATTCACTGGGTGGGTGGTTGAGGCCTGACAAAAGTGTATGTGTATGTAGAGTTTTTTTTACATTGTGCATTGTTTAGGTCCCTGTTTGATAGCTTGCAGCTGTCTTCTTCGCTGGCTTTGTAGGTACATTGCTACGTTTCTCTGACCACCACCAACCGTAAATCAGCAGAACAGTGTGAAACCATCTGCAAGAACATGCGCTACGTTGCCCACATGCTTGCCCACTTGTAAAATAAATTACACAATAGCGCTACCAGCATCACTCCTTTGTAATGGATTGCAGCATTTTTTAGGTGAATCTATCTCATTACTGGCTAAAGTCTTTGACATATAGACTTACTTTATGATTCCTCCAAATGCAGGAGAAAATACCCTCCTCATGATGTGTGCTTCATGATGTTGTGCATTTCAAGTCAGTCATACAGAACGCCATTGTTTGTATGTGCATTTGAAGCCACTGTGAAGGCTAAGCAAGGAAGATGCAGAAAAAGAAAATAAAAAAGTGATGGTGAAAAAAGAGAGAAACACACAGAAGGAAGAGCTGGAGAGGGGTATACGAGTACACATCCCTGAGGTCCTCCTGGAAGGTACTGGAACCCTGACTTTGTCTCCTCCAAGGTCCGTGACAGTCAAAGTGCCAGACTGCGAGCGTTGGTGGCTGAAGCCTGCGCACGCTGCACCACTCCTGGACACTTCTCTCTCTTCTGCAGCTTGTGGTTTTGAAACAAGCCCTCATTTCGTGGGACACCATGAGCTCCATCTGGGAAAGTCAATAGCCCTGGAGGCATAGACACAGGACACCATGACCAACCACATGGATACAGAATATTGACTTCCCGATGGACAAAATGTTCCAGTGTTGTAATTGACTTACCATATCCCTCCACACGTCCATCTTTGAATTCCCCCTCAAACTTCATGCCATCGTATCGACTGAAGACTCCTGCGCCTTGAAACTTCCCATGTGCAAATTCTCCTTCGTATCTGATATGGTGAAAAGAGAGCGGGGTGTCACTTGTAACTTTTTCACTGAGGACTTGCTTTTCTTTTTGTCTCACTCCTGCTCACACACCTGGATCCATCTGTAAAGAGCAGTACACCAGAGCCATGGAAGAGTCCATTCTCAAACTGGCCAGTGTAGCAGGTTCCATCCTGAAACTTGAGCTGCCCAACACCATGCCTCCGACCTGGAAAGTCGCACACCATCAGAGTGAGTAATGGCTCAAACTTCAAAGAGATGATGGAAAGATCTGGTGTCAAGGCCGTTTGCCTCAACAAGAGATCTTGATATCATTTGCCAAAGCACATTTTATCTACATAGGTGCACTTAGCTTCGTATGGATTACTAGTAATAGTAATGGTGCGTAACATACTGTAAGAGATGACCAGCTGACCATGACGTCCGAACTTGCAATGCGGCTCTAGGTTTAATATTGACTTGGTATTGTAGAGCCACTACATATGTCAGATGAGTCAGTACGTGCTCGGATTTAAGTGACCTCCCCCCTCTCTGTAAGATAAAGGTTTACAACCGAATTAGTCCCATCTGCCTCCTGCGCAGTGGGAATTACAGCACTCTAATCTGTCAGATTTTTAGCAGGGATTTCTACTTTAGGATGCAGAATGTGAAAACAGACCAGGAATGTACTTGTATTTCCCTCCTAGCAGTCTATGATCTACTACTGAAGCTTATAATCATGTCAGAGGGCACACATCTAAAGGTTTCTGTACGAAGGAATATATACCAGTTAAAATAGTGTAGACAGTGTTTGACCTACAGTAAAAGCATACAAAGTCGATGCTAAAACAAAGTAAAATCCCCTAAGATTCCCCTACTCTCTAAGATTTCCAAAACAGGTCCATAGTCTAATCCAGAAGATTTGACAAAGCCAGAGCTGGTAAATCTGTCTCTGTTCGTCATGGGTTGCCAATGCTAGCTAATTGGGATTTGATTAAACAGCTTGAGCTTGCATGTCACTAGCATTACCGTATGTGTGTGTGTGTGTGTAGGAGAGAGTTAAAGCAGTCCAAGCATCCTCATAATCTTTGCCACAGGTAAACATATTGACATTTTCCCTTCACAAAAAGATTACAATTTATGCACCCACACATCCATCCATCCTGCTAGCTTCTCCATAATATACAGCCACAAGTGACACAACAAAAACAAGTGACTCCAGATATGGAAAATGAAAGTAGCACCATTAACAACACTTTGGTCCATGAGTAAACACCTTCTCTTATCCAGGTATGATGGTTTAATGAGCATCAAGCCTATACTGAGGCAAAGAGTGCTGTAACCTTAGCTGATGTCAGAAGATGCACTCAAAGGCTAATCGACAGCACTCGCTTTTATGCAATTTGTGTGTCATTCTCCTCAGTAATAGCTTTGTTAAACTGGTCACAATTTACCTGCGTGTGTGCAAGAGACCATGTTTAAATAAAAGAAATGTACTATACCAGTCTAACTTAATTTATGTGCAGGCATGTGCGGAAAAGACTATTGCTTTAGAAAAGTAAAAACGTGCTAGGGAAGCAGCAACTATTTATGTTAATATTTTGGGGAAATATAGGTATTGTATTCTTTTTTTTGCTATTGGTTACCTGCATACCAGAATACTTAACATTTACATGTTAAATCCAAACTTTATGAGAAGGCCTGAATGTATTTCCCAGTTTGTCAATGCTTTCAATCAGCTGATAACTAACACAATGATGCCTTGGAGAGACATTATGAGGACTAGATGTACAGTACAGTGGTACAGAGTGAAAGTGTGTCTCGTCTCTGTAAGTTGTTGATGCTTGGACACAAACTTTATTTAAAACTGAGAAGCAGGACGGTCTTGCCTTCTTTCCACTCGCCATGGTACTCTTCTCCACTGGCATAGGTGAAAGATCCTCTGGTCAGAGTCATGTCACCCCTGTTTACAACACACAAACACACTTATTGGCAATGCAACAACATCTATATTAGTGACCAGCAATTTATACGTATAATATAGAGTGAGAGGGGTATTTGTGAGTCTCTTCCAGCTCTGAGATGCTGTTCTTCAGCTGGCCAAGACCTCTGACTTCACTGTGGAGGGAAGCAAGTGGAGACGAAATTCTCCCTAATGGGATTATTAGTCCCCCTGTCCAATAAATAGAGAGAGTAACTGTCTGCTTAGGACATATTTTACTTTTTTTTTTTAAATCTTTTTTTTCATGTAACTTCTGTAAGTCCAACTGGGTGTTCATGTTACAATGGTAACAAAAGCAGCAATCACAAGCTTCTTGTGGTGTTTAGAACAAGCAAACATGGGCCTACTGTAATTTGGCATTAAACCTTAATCAGTTGAATGAGTAAAGAGAGAGAAAATCATTCATTATGCTCAGTGACCTATAGCCTCATGTTGCCAGTGTACGTTTTCTTTTTTTCAGGACATGCTTTCTTAATGAGATATCTAAAGCCTATTGTCAAAATTATTGTGAGAAAAAAAAGCCTAGGTGTAAGTACATATCGCTGTGACTGAACCTTATTCGGGTCAAAGGATAATGACAAGTAAAACCAGATCCTTCACCCAATAACTCTGTTTAATGCCCAGTGTATGTAGGTGGTGGTGGTGGTGTTGGTGCTGATGTAAGCCAAGTTTAAAAGCACACATGAGCGAAAAGCCTATTGTACGCTATAAGAATAGACTCGAAAACGTGACTGTAGCATGACTGCAGACATTAACAAAAGCTTATCGCATGGTGACCATTTGAAAATATTGTTTAGTACAAATGACAGTGTTTTACGGAATGGCAGGGAGGTGTAGTTTTACCCATGCGGTCGCCATTGAATAAATAATTCATTAGTTCATGCCAAGATTAAACACTCGTTATTGTAAATATCCAACTTAGGCTGTCAAACTGTTCCATTCATTGCATCCTTTACATAGCCTACATGTTGCAGAATATGCTATCCGCTTAATGACAAGCTTATGTAAATCGACTGTAACGTATAGAAGGACAACTACAAGCGAAAAGCAACAACACCTATTAACGCTATCATTTACCTGTACCCTACGTTTGTCGTCTCTGAAGCATGGAAACCACAGTACAAGACCGGAGGGGCGTAAAAAAAATATGAAAACACCGGCTGAGACACGTATGCCGCATTCAGGTGCTCATCGTAAGATCCTGCATCTGAGTTAAGAGTCCCTACGTCCCAGTTTAAGACTCTTACGGATGTTCACATAGGCTTCATGTGCGCTAGCGTGGTTACAGATGAAAAAGCGTTTTAGTGACCGTTGTATTTACCAGAAGTTAAGAGGAACGGTTGTCTTACAGCAGCTAAGTTACGTGCAAATGCTGAACTGTCTTCCCATTATAATAAAATCACGTTCTGTCTTGCTTCCAATGCTCTTTATTCAATAAAGACTTACATTGGTAACTTTTAGAGACCCATTCCCTCTCTGCAAGCCGTGTTTACTTTTTTGTCGCGTTCGCGTTGACGTCCATGCTCCTAAAGGATTTTATTAATTCCGACAGCACTTTAAGTCAGCATTACAACAGCATCATTGCAGCCTGACCGCCGCGCTGTTTCATTGCATGCTGTTGCTGGCTCTCATTGAAAACTTTCTCTGATTGGCCTAGTGTGCTACAGCTAGGAGACTGTGGCAGACATATTTATGAAAGGCTGTTGGGCATTTTGCTGAAGCTTCTTATGCACTCAACATACAGCTGACCGGGAAGCCCGTTGCTTATTTGTCTCTTGTCTACAGGCTACATTATGTGTAATATGTAGGCCAGAGACTGCATATAAAGTAGCCTACAGGCTTTAGAGAACTATAAATAAAGATGTTTTCGTTATGTTATTATTATTACTACTATAGTCTTTTGAATATTATTATATATAATGGCGTTTTCTTCAAATAATACTGTTGCAGTCTTTTGTGTAGGGATTCAGCAAATGTTTCTCACAGAGCACTGTTTGTTCCCCCTCAAACACAATTGCATTTTACTTAAGTCAGACAAAACGTCTGACAATAGCATACTAGACCAGATAGCATTTACTTTAGTGGTGCATAAGGCTGAGCAGGCTACTGTTTAAATACTGATGTCTGAAAAAGCAATTATAGATTGTTGCTGTTCATAAAAATCCAATTAAGGTACCAGCTAAATCTCGATTTGGGCGTACTTATAGTAAATCACAGAAAATGATACTCAATATTTACTAATAGCTATAATGTTTGATGGAAGTAAAGCCAAGCTGGAATAACCTACTAGGGCGACCAGGGGCAAAAGGGATCTGTGGCCCCCTATCAACCACCTTATTTCCAAACTTATTTTAGTTATAAGTAGATTAAACAGCCCCTCATGTTCACCATCTTAGTTTAGTGTGTTAGCTAAACTAGTCAGATATTTGGTCATAAAACATCGTTTTTAACAAATTTAAAATTGTGTTGTGTGCCAAATTTTGCAGCAATCCATTCAATAGTTGTTGAGATATTTAAAAAACTGGGGGACCAGATTAAGTAGACCTAGTTGTTGAGATATTTTATTCTGGACCAAAGTGGTAGACTGACATTTCCATCTCTACAGCCATGCCAGAAGCATTTGGTAAAAATGCAGAATCTGCAATGAGTCCTAACTACTTCAGTTGATTTTGTCAATTAATAAAATTACCTCTGGTTGCCACATACTAAACCTGGGGGCTTTAGGGACCCTGAGGGTTTGGGCCCAAGGCAGTTGCCCAGTTGGTAATCTAAGCAGTGAAAAATACCACCGCCACATTTATTTTGATAGGCTATAAACTGCAAAAGGCACCCCATATTATCTTTATAAGGGAAAATGCCATTGTTGTTGTTTACTTTTGTTCAGTGGTTTATATGTACCCAGAAACCTTATCTGGAGGATCAGTACAAGAACTACAGTAGCATGCCTGTTGAATCCCATGGCTTTATTGTTCCCGCCTTCAACAGTCACTTGCACAAGGTCCTACCTCAGTATTTAATCTAATACTACAACCCCCTTTCTAGATAAAGGATATTCCCTGTGCATACCATACTACTTAGCTATGAAACACTTTAAACATATGCTGCGGTAAAAAGTGTAACAGTTATATCAAAACAACAAGTGTTTTCATTACTACATTTATTCATTTAGCTGATGCTTTTATCCAAAGTGACTTACAATTGCTATATATATATATCAGAGGTAACACCTCTGAAGGCAACTAGGGGTTAAGTGTCTTGCTCAGGGACATATTGGTGGATTTGTCACAGTGGATTCAAACCCGGTTCTCGCACACCAAAGGCGTGTGTCTTATCCACTGCACCATCATCACCCCTACAATGAATGGTTTTCTTTGCTGCCCCCAAAAGATGGTCCCCGTTTCTTCACAAGGCGTCTCAACGATGTAGGACCTTGGTGTGCCAGCTGTAAACACCACTGTGCCTTTCTCCATCACGTCTTTGAACCACACGATACCAGGCGGAAGGTGTGGCATGTCACATGCATGTTTTAAACTTTGTTGGTATCATTATTTCTCTATGATTTATTCTCTCATGGCTACACATGTCACCACACTGAATGTTTAGCTCTCTCTCTGCACTTTGTTATTCCCAGATTGCCCTTGTACAGCATGTCTACCCTGAGTGATGCTGGAACGATTATCCTTTTGCCATATAGTAGCAGACCATTTTGGACTGTGAGCTCACCTGAGAATGGCAGATAGGGCTGGGACACTTTCATTAGAGACCGTGTCTCTGTATCATCTTTTGACACAGTACTTCAACTGCTGGAATATGGGTTTGTTTTGCACACTCTGGCATAATGTCCCCTTTTTTTGCAGTTATTGCACACTACCTCCTTAGCTGGACATTGTTGCAGGCTATGCCTCTTGCATCTCTGTATCTTTTGCATTGTGTCTTTTCTGTTGTCCTTTGTCTGTCTGCCTACATTGCGGCTGTCAAGCTGCGTGTTGGCGCGCTTTAAAGTTCATCTTCAGCATTTCATGTTGCTTCTTTACCTGCTCACTTTGTTAATCGCTTTCTCTAGCGCGAGTTCAGGGTCCAGTTGTAACTGTTCTGACAAGAGTCTAACGTTATCTCTCAGACCCACAGCAAGTCTATCTTTCACCATTTCATCGTGCAGAGCCCTCTATCCACAGTGCTCCGATAGGCAATGCAGCCCTGTGTGAAAACTGTCAGCCGACTCACCCATTTCTTCCTCCTCTGATTACATTTTGCCATCTCAAAGATTACATTTCTGTTTGTTAAGAAGTGAGCCTCCAACTTTCTCCTGACTCATTCGCATCCTCAGGACTGAGGTGCAGGGAAACCAGTGTGTCCTCCGCGTCCTCTTCCAAGGGTGTAAATCAGCACATTCACTTTATTTTCATCCTTCTTTCGAAGCATTTTATCCACTTGGTTCAGTCTTCAGCTTTGAACGTGAACTTCTCTGCTGGAGAGACTTGAAATGAACTCATGTCGCCGCCTTTGAGCTTGCTAGCTTTAGCCTTAGTCCAAACTTTCGTCTCTCGGCAGAGAGAAAAAACACTGCAAAAAGCTCGACGGTCTCCGGTCAAATACGCGCAACTTTCTTTCAATGTCCGTTATTATTTCGTCTCCCGACACCATGTTCAATGGGTTATAGGTACACCGAAACCTTCTCAAGAACCACAGCAGAATGCCTGTTGACTCCCACGGTTTTATTGTCCCCCCCCCCTTCAACAGTCACCCGCGCAAGGTTCCTACCTCCGTATTTAACCTTATACTACAAGTTTGATAGCCTAAATGTAATAGATTATATCTTTTTTGTATATTTATTTACTTACTGATTAAATTACACTATTTGGCTTGGTCACTCTGTGTGACTGATACCTGAGAGCATTTCTCTCGGGAGCGATTTCCTCGTCGACTCAGAGGCTCGTTCACATAGCGGTGCGCTTCCTCTTCCCGTGCTGGTGTCCGCCGCCAGACAAGAGAGATAGAAAATGGCGAGTCAATGTAAAAGGCAGCAATGCACACTCGACAGGCACGGCTTTCGGCAGGAACTTGATTCGTGGCGACATAAACTCATTCACTGTGTAGGTAAGAATAATTCCAGTTATGCCACACTGTACAATTTTACAGGTTTGATTTCGCCGCCGTGTGAGCGTTTGCTGGACTCATTCGGGGAATTTTTTGTCCTCAACTGTTTCCTTCTCACGGCAGCCAGCCTGACCAGTTCGTTAAATGTTGCAATTTGTAACTATGTTACACTCCTTCTTGGGTTTCCCTAACGTTTTTTATTGTTAGTAAATACGAAATGTAGACTTCAGCTTTCTAATAACGTAATGTTAGTTTGTTTAAAGGGCACCGTGCTTGTTTTAAAGGGAGTGTCTGCGTCGGCGAAAAGACCCCGTTTGCTAAAATGCGCGTTCCCGTGTAATGATACTGTATTTTGGATGGGGGAGGGCGACTAATGCCCGTAGTGGATGTTTTCAGTTAACATTTAGCTTACTTGCTTTTCTCAAATCCTGCGTGCGCGCATTGCTGCATTGCTGCATTGAGGAAGTGGCTGAGACCCCACTTCTGTGGGAGTTTACATTTTCGACGACGTTACCCCGATAAACTTCTCTCTAACATTTGCTTTTCAGGCCCCTTAAAACTGATAACTTAAAAGGCATAATTGATTTTGTTTTTTTTAATTGGTTTTAAAACTCATTGTATTGTGTATACCTGTGTGGAGGTGGAGGGTGGGAATTAGAGCTACACTATAATTTTGAGAGTCATTTGTGGGGACTAGCAGAACGGGACATAACATGCAAAATGAGCTTGAGCATTTCATTCAGGCCACCACTTTGATCCAGAAGTTTTCACTTATTCAGTGAAATATCTCAACATCTACTAGGTGGATTTTCACTTTCAATTTGGCACAGACATTCCCGGTTCCCAGAGCATATATTCAAATGACTTTGTAGATCCTCTGATTTTAACTCTTGCACCACCAGCAGCTCAGATTTTTCACTTCACTGAAATATCTTAACACCTAACATTACTTGATGGGTTGCAAGCAAGCCCCTGTGAAGCAATATTATGTAGATGTAGTACCAGAGGCTACAGTTTCAGGACCCTCGCAATCTTGGGACCATAGTTCTTTTGCAACAGCGCCATCTAGCTAGCCAGGCAGCTAGCTGGCAGTATCAAAGTAAACAAGGGTCTCAGAAATGCAGTTCTGGTCCGAGGATTGCAGTTCCGCATGGTTATAGACTCTCAATGTAGTTGTAACAACAGCTCACTGGTTTGTGGTACAGTATGTGTGCTGTGTGACACATTTCCAACCGTGGAATATACTATTTATTGTTTACTGTATTACTATGTTTTAAGGGTGCTCCGATCGACGGGTAACCAATTGTAATCGGCCGATAATTGCGATAATTAACTAGTTTGATTGGTGGTCTCTAAAAAGGCAGATCAGAAGAACCGATCTGATGATGCAATACTCGCCAGGCAGCTAAAATGCTTTCATTACAGCCAGTGGTCTGAGCAGTTTTCAAAGCTCGCTAGCACAAAAGTCCTTTTCAGACAGGAAGCAATTGATGCGCCCAGTTAATCATTTACAATAAGAGTTGAGCAGCAGACAAGCAGAGCAACAATCAGGGGCAATATTCACATTTATTTATTAGGATAAACCCCTTGAGATGCACCATCTCGTTTTCGAGGGGGTCCTAAAATACATCACAACCATTGAACAGTGACAAAAAAAAAGGTACAATTATACATTTGTCTATGTACAGACAGACAAACACACACAGAACCACCAATACAGAGCAACAACAACAAAGGGAAAACAAAACCCCCAACAACAACAAAAAACAAAACAACAATAATAATTACAGAAATATAAAGAACTTTACAACCACTAGATGGTCAAACTGGCCAATAATACATATGAAATTATATGTACGTGGATCACAAAATAATAATACAATTAAGTTTAGTATAGGATATACACAATGTGTCAGCATCATTCATTACGTGAGCAGTCAATCGCAAGGTAAGAAGACAGGCAGTCATGTGAAGCTGTTGCGGTCATGCTCATCTCACACACGCCGGCCGCTACCGGAGTTCTACTTCATGTTCACGTCGGCATGCACATACCCAGTGTACGTGAACGGCCACTAGATGTGTGTTTTCAGTCATTTTAATCTAGACTGAGATCAATTCTGATACGCAGCTAAAACACTGCTGTGGACAGAGAAGATATTATTTGTTATAAAAGTGTTTTAAAAAAACACAGTAGTGTGGATGTAGCCTAACATCACCCCACTCTCTCTCTACTCCTCTCATGACAATCATCCCGTTTTCCCCTGGGATTCTCTCGTATTTTTCTCGTACGGCATATTTCACTCACACATGCTAGGGCTGTCGTGGTAATTTCCCCATGGCAATATGCGCGGTATGTGGTATTATCGTATTTTTTATCTATGAAGTAATTTGGTGCCATGTGGCAAAGTAAGTCTGTGTCTGTGGATCTCACTTCACTGCGCAGCGAGCAGCTTACAGCAGCTTTATGGTCGGAGCAAGCTAGCTGCTGGGTGCCAGTCAACAACATTGCCAAGCAAACTCATTTTTGTAGTTTGACAGTGTCTTTTTGACTCGTAACGTTAGCTATATCATTACCTTCAGGGCATGTCTATCAAGTGAATTTACATACCGCAGCAACGCGCGCACACACACCAACACAAACCAGTTGTGTAACCAGCGCAGTGGTTAGTTGTCCCCAACTAACCACTGTAGCTGTAGTAAAGTTATAGCTAAATTTCCCCAGAAAGCAACATGAAAAACAGCTGCAGGCATCCGACACACTACGCTTGTTAGTGAGCTTCAAAACAGTCTTACCGTTCAGTTTCTCTCGACTGTCCCTCAGGATTACAACGTTAGTCCAACATTGGCGAGCCTGCTGGTAGGGCTGCAACTAACGACAATTTTGATAGTTGATTATTCTATCGATTTTTTTATTGAAACGAATAATCAACTATTCAGATTATGAATCACAAAATTACACATTGCCTCTCGTTTAGCTATCAGCTTTTAAAAAAAACTTGAGGTTGTTTTAGGCTAGTGCTAATTTACAATCAAGACAATAAAAATTAATAATGCTTTCAAAAATACATCTTTAATGAGCATTTTTGCTGCAGCAGCAGAAAGTTCTGCTGAAATCCAGTCCTTTCATGGACCAAACAAATAACTGCGTGTGCACAGCGCTGTGCCAGACCTGGCCTGAGCAGCTGATCTGCTGTCTAGTGACGGAGCAGCTTTCACGCTGGTACTGCAACACACCGGACAAACTGACACTGTATTTATACAAAAAAAGGAATAATTTCATGTGTTACATTTGCAGAATTTACAAGAGAGGACCAATAATAACAATTTTGTAGTAGACAGCTTTCACAACATTTATATAGTTTCCCCTAACTCACAAAACTCAGGGCAGATTAGCCACAACCTCGACATAGACAGAAGAACTCTTTGTATTTTTATAGTATAAACTTGTCCGATGTTGTCTAATCTTGTGCACTCGGCAGCAACACGTTCTCCAGCTGTAAATGTCGCCGTGAGCGATTTATAGTTGTAAATATAATAAATAATACCAGCGGTGGTGTTTATAGTAACTTTACTGTTCACATCACTTTACTCCGTTAAGGTGACGGTGTAGTTACGGCCCCATGAACGAATCGTTTTTTGCCGACTATGTCGATTAGTTGTTGCACCTCTATCTTCTAGCCACATTAACCGCGCAATATGCTAAAACCAAGTTAGCCAACAAAATAAACAGTAAATCAACACAAAACACGGCAACACTTGAACCGTTACAGAGCTCATTACGGTTGTGGAACTTTTGAAGCACCAATTTCTTAATTTAACACGCACTGAAGTGTAAAGTATGAACATTGCGGTTGTTGCGGTGCTTGCCATCCTCCGCGGTAGGCTTGACCAATCTCAATTTTGCGGTTATCGCAACATCCCTAACATATACTCATTTTTTTAATACAGTCTAGATGCTGAAAATAGATACCCTCCGTACGAATCGTTAAAACAATTGACGATGTGTGTAAACACTACAACTAACAGTAGCGTCAAATTGTTCTGCATGAATGGTTATGATTATTGACAAGATTAGAGACCAATGTAGACTCTGCTTCTTGCACAAGGATTTAATAAATGAAAACAACCCACTGAATTAATATTAGACCTATACTAATGGTAAACCATATGAAATTATAATGAATATTAACTGTGTAATATTAACAGTATCATATGGAATTAACATTGTACTTTTTACTACAATATCCCTTATTTTCAAATCTCAATAATCACAGTTATGACTCCCCTCTGTAGCCCACTCTCCCTCTCTCTACTCCTCTCTCTACCCACTAAAGAGCAATTTATACTTCTGCGTCAAATCGACAGTGTAGCCTCTGCGTGGCCTGACGTGCACCTCCTTAAAAATGTAACTACACATCTAGTCGACACGGACCGTAAGCTCTGATTGGTCGGCTGGGAAGCCTTGCAACGCCTCCGAGCCGACAGGAAGTGCCTGTGCTTTAAAGTAACTTTTAATATATTTGACCATCACAACCCGAGCGAAATGACTCGTTTCATTAACAGAATGTGATCCATTAGGTCGATAACATTTGAAAAGCCAATCCTAGCCGCACGTTTACAATTTTACCCCCATTCACGTTAGCGGAGGGCTAAACCAGAAGTCACTACAGTGGACGCTGTAGCGCTACTGCCGACTAGTGTTTGGGGGTGTAATTGCAGATTGACGGACACATGGACACACAAGAATAAATGCCTGGCTACGCGCTTAGCCTACGGCATAGCTACGCACGTAGACCCTATGCAGGAGTATAAATCAAGCTTAATGCCCACAGAACCTGCCTGTGCTCTCCAGAACAAAACGCAGCTACTTCAGAGTTTATCATAGACTCAGGATGCCTGTGCTCCTTTATCTCGTAAATATTTTGATTATAGCCTTTTTTGTTGCAGTTTTTATAGTTGAAGTAAATTTATAAAGATGCTGTTTGTTTTGTTTTTTGTAA